TGGAGTGTGAACATAAGAACATAAGAAAGGAGGAACACTGCAGGAGGCCTGCTGGCCCATACTAGGCAGGTCCTTTACAATTCATCCCACTAACAAAACATTTGCCCAACCCAATTTTCATGCCACCCAAGAAATAAGCTCTGATGTGAAAGTCCCACTCAAATCCAACCCCTCCCACTCGTGTACTTATCCAACCTAGATTTGAAACTACCCAAAGTCCCAGCCTCAATAACCCAACTAGGTAGACTGTTCCACTCATCAACTACCCTATTTCCAAACCAATACTTTCCTATGTCCTTTCTAAATCTAAACTTATCTAATTTAAATCCATTACTGCGGTTCTCTCTTGGAGAGACATCCTCAAGACCCTATTAATATCCCTTTATTAATACCTATCTTCCACTTATACACTTCGATCAGGTCTCCCCTCATTCTTCGTCTAACAAGTGAATGTAATTTAAGAGTCTTCAATCTTTTCATAAGGAAGATTTCTAATGCTATGTATTAATTTAGTCATCCTACGCTGAATGTTTTCTAACGAATTTATGTCCATTTTGTAATACGGAGACCAGAACTGAGCTGCATAATCTAGGTGAGGCCTTACTAATGATGTATAAAGCTGCAGTATGACCTCTGGACTTCTGTTGCTTACACTTCTTGATATAAATCCCAGTAATCTGTTTGCCTTATTACGTACGCTTAGGCATTGCTGTCTTGGTTTAAGGTTGCTGCTCACCATAACCCCCAAGTCCTTTTTGCAATCTGTATGGCTAAGTTCTACATCATTTAACTTATAAGTACTAGGGTTATGGGCACTCCCAAGCTTCAGAACCTTGCATTTATCTACATTGAACTGCATCTGCCACTTTTCTGACCAAGAATAGAGTTTGTTTAAATCCTCCTGAAGTTCCATAACATCTACGTTTGAATCAATTATCCTACCTATCTTCGTGTCATCGGCGAATTTGCTCATATCACTAGTAATTCCCTCAAGATCATTGATATATATTATAAACAACAACGGGCCCAAGACTGACCCCTGTGGAACGCCACTTGTTACAGATCCCCACTCGGATTTAACCCCATTTATGGACACTCTCTGCTTCCTGTCAGTGAGCCATGACTCGATCCACGAGAGCACTTTTCCCCCAATGCCATGAGCTGCCACTTTCTTTAACAGTCTATGGTGCGGAACTCTATCAAAAGCCTTACTAAAATCTAAGTAAATAATATCAAATTCTTTATTGTGGTCAACAGCCTCAAAAGCTTTACTGAAGAAAGTTAATAAATTAGTTAGACAAGACCGGCCTCTTGTGAATCCATGCTGAGTATCATTAATCAAGCTATGCTTATCGAGATGGCTTCTTATAATCTCAGCTATAATTGACTAGTAATTTGCCTACAATTGAGGTCAGGCTTATTGGGCGGTAATTTGACGGTAACGACTTGTCCCCTGTTTAAAAATAGGAGTTACATTAGCCATCTTCCACATATCAGACACTACACCTGTTTGAAGAGATAAATTAAAAATATTAGTTAATGGTTCACAGAGTTCCATTTTGCATTCCTTAAGAACCCTTGAAAAAACCTCATCAGGACCCGGCGACTTATTTTGCTTCAGTCTGTCTATCTGCTTCACAACCATCTCACTAGTTACTGTGATGTTACATAATTTATCTTCTTTTAGCCCACTGTAAAAATTAATTACTGGAATATTGTTAGTGTCTTCCTGTGTAAAAACTGAGAGAAAATAATTATTTAAAATCAAGCACATTTCATTCTCTTTGTCAGTAAGGTGCCCATAGTTATTTTTAAGGGGACCTATCTTATCTTTAACTTTTGTTCTATAGACCTGGAAAAAACTTTTTGGGTTAGTTTTAGAATCCCTAGCAGCTTTAATTTCATAGTCCCTTTTAGCTTTTCTTATCCCCTTTTTAATGTCCCTCTTAATGTCAATATACTGATTCATAAGATGACCCTCACCTCTTTTGATACGCCTATAAATTCCTTTCTTATGCCCTAGTAGATATTTGAGCCTATTATTCATCCATTTTGGGTCATTTCTATTTGATCTAATTTCTTTATATGGGATAAACGCTCTTTGAGCAGCATGTATAGTGTTCAGAAAACTGTCATATTGATAGCTCTCTTCGTTACCCCAGTCAACAGATGATAAGTGTTCTCTAAGCTCTCTGAGCAAAGTAACATTTATGAAGGGGTTCAGGGAAACCGGCAGGCCGGACTTGAGTTCTGGAGATGGGAAGTACAGTGCCTGCACTCTGAAGGATGGGTGTTAATGTTGCAGTTTAAAATTTGTAGTGTAAAGCACCCTTCTGGCAAGACAGTGATGGAGTGAATGATGGTGAAAGTTTTTCTTTTTCGGGCCACCCTGCTTGGTGGGAATCAGCCAGTGTGATAAAAAAAAAAAAAAAAGAATACAAATTATTGTAAAATAAAAATTTGTGAAGTATACAATACTAATTGGTTCGCATAAATTCACAGTTTCGAAGAACCTGTCGACGAAACCCTCTCCAGGTATAGGGCTTACTGTACTTGAGAATTTTGAAAGGTCTCCATTGGAGTTCTCTGGCGGTTCAGTGAACTCGATGTTACCTCTTGTCACATAGGACCTCTTGAGTTGGGTAGGTTTAAATCATCCCTCTAGCTCTATACAGGTATTTTGAATGTGTATTTACAGTGTCCCCCATGTGCCTCATTGGAAGAGATGTTAGTCTTGCAGCTCTTACCTTAGACTGGTGAGGGAGCCAACTTCTTTGTTTTACAGTTTGTTTCTAAATCCTTGTAACATTAAAGATGATAAGTAAAAGGACACAAGCACAACTAATGTGACATTGTGGCAACGTTTTGCTCTCCAGGAGCTTTATCAAGCCATTATGGCTTGATATATATGGATTGATAAAGCTCCTGGAGAGCATAACGTTGCCACAGTGTCACATTAGTTGCGCTTGTGTCCTTTTATCTAACATATTGTCAGTAATTCTACCAACATTAATACAAAGATGATAAATAGTAAATGTTAAGACTTCCCATACCTTTTCTCTGACCCAGGACTTGACTCCCATTTCTCCAGATTGAACCAAACTGGAGAAACACATCTCTATCCTTAAATGACTTAAGGCACCTAGAGTCAGTAATTTTAATTTGACCTATTTTATTCCATTTAATATGGCAAGTACGTAAGTAAGTTTATTCAGGTAAACACACATACAATTACATAATTATCATACATAGCATATGTGTAAAAAAAATACCCCAAAAAAGTCAGTGACTCATTTTCATTGGGGTCCTTAGGTATTTCAGTAAAATAATTATTTTAGAAGCTTTCTCCAGCATTTTGTAATAGCATTTGTTGAGTAAAGTGGGATTTACTAGCAGTACACTTTAAAAAAAAAATGCAATGTATCAATGAATTTGAAACATTAAGATCTTAAGGAGGCACTACTAAACTTGTGATGAGATATTAGCTGGGATGATAAAATGCTAATAAGGAACACCTTGAAATGATGTAAAGTCATACCCTGCCATATGTCATTAATTGGTTCCAAGAGCCTTGATGTAAACCGGTTTTTGACATAAACTGAACAAAATGCCTTAAAATGATGACAAACACCATAAAACTAGCATAAATAACTCACAAAAGAATATAACTATGTATTGCTAAACCTTAAAGAACACTAAGAACACATTTTAGTCATATTTTTTAAAGAATAATGAACACAATTAAAAAATCATGACATTGCTGAGTGACAAAGTTGGACATGATGTACGCCGAACTGAAATTACTCTAGAAAAGTGGCATAAAGGCAAATTTGATATGACTCCAACAACATGCTCATTGGAGAAGCCAGGTATAGATACTCAAAAAACCAGGGACAAAGGAATTAATGTACAATTGCTATGGATCCCATCACACATTGAATTACTCCTTCATAATAAAGTTGATATGTTAGCCAAGAAGAGTACCCAGAAGGAGAATGTAGAATATAACTTTGGTATATCTGTGTCTAGTATTAGGAATAATATTAGGAGAGAAGTAAATAATGAAAATGATTGTTATAGGAATGCAGTTAGAAGCCTGAGTAGATCTATAACCCACTATGATAACATGAACGTAGATAAGTATGTTTATGGAGCAACTTGCAATGTGAACACTGACTGATGTTGTAGTGGCCAGGCTTAGGCTTGGTTACAAGTACTGACTGATGTTGTAGTGGCCAGGCTTAGGCTTGGTTACAAGTACTGACTGATGTTGTAGTGGCCAGGCTTAGGCTTGGTTACAAGTACTTCTGGCAGTTTTGGGAGAGACACAGATGATGATCAAACTAAATACAAATTACATGATCAGGCATATGGTCACTGACTGTCTTGAACACTGTGCTTAATTGTCCACTTATTGAGGAATAGAGGTAGACAGTATAATAACCTATGTGACATGTCAAGATATCTTATTAATGAAAATAAGATACCAGATATACTAAGGAAATTTCCTAAATTTGCTTGCAACAGATAAATGAACTGCACATGTGTAGATATAAATCCATATGTACACCTGTTAACCCTTTTGGGGCCTAGTTCCTAGGCCTTTTGTGTATCCATATGCTCTTGTGCTACCGTCCACAGGATGGATATAGGGTGCACAATAAACTAGCCACTTCGGTGGCAAAATCTAATCGATATAGGCCGATGTAAAGCAAGGTATGACTTTATTCCAAAGCTGTGATAATATTTAAAAATAGCAATACAGTTAGTATTCACTAGGGTAAAATATTTTTAGCATGACTGAACTTGAAAATGAAGTGTATACTAAAAATTTTAACGATTTTCAACATGATCATATTTTTGTGTCTTGGAGAGCATACATTAAGAAATAATTGTTCTGCTAATCCATAATCCATAGGATAGTGGTGACACTCATTGGTCACAATTAACTAGTGAATTTAGTACTCTCATGGTATTTCAATTATGTTTACTTGGTGCAGATCCACATGTCAGAGTTGTGGGTTTGCCAGATGCAGTACAAGCTGCTGGTATGATGGTGAGGCAAGAGTTGGAACCTCACAACAAAGTGACGATGAAGCTGGACGTGTCATGGACACACCATTCTCACATCATTGGTAAAGGAGGAAACACCATTCAACCGGTTGTTAAGCGAACAGGTACCTTAGAGCATGCTAAATGAAAATATGTACTTGTCTAAGTTATTAATGAATACAGTACAGTAATGTGAAAGTAAAACAGGATGCTTTTCTGAGAATTTGTGATCCTGAATATAGAACTTTACTGATTTTTTTATTGTAATTAAATTTGATTGTATTTAGTAATGCGAAGAGATTTTGGTATGTGAAGTTGGGCATGTATGTTAATCTGAGAACAAACAGTTTATTTCATAATGTAATTGCAGTGCATCTTTTGTACAGTATGCAGTAAAATTATCTAACATTTTCCTATTCACTTCTGGTATTAACTTGCCACTATGTCGAGTGTCTTTAGGGTACATCAGAAGTAAATGACCACATTTTGCCTATGATTTTCTACATAAACTTAGAACTGCAGCCATCTTGGTTATGACAGTTTTGATACGGAAACTGTTCCACAAACTTTTCACTTTGATCAATTTCCAGTTGCCCATCTAGCAGTTTGACAAACTTAGAGTTGCTGCCTCTTGGCTGTGTGTCAAATTGAACTTCTTGAAGTTATGAGGATTTGTATTATCCTACATGTTTTGGATCTTAACTAACTTGAGGAATAATCCTCTCATGCTTAATTTGAAACCATCAGTCACATAGAACTCAGTTTACATTGGTTCTATATTGAAAATTCCCCTTCAGGCTTTCTCTACTAGCAGGTGTCAAATTGTCCAGTCGATGATGATGATTAATGATGATATAATATGCCTAGTATTAAGTAGTTTGTTAAGCATTAGGTTTAGTCTGCCCGAAATGCCTCGGCATGATAGTGGCTTTCTTTGTACTTAGCAAATAAAAATTGTAATTACACATTGTAAACTATGCAAAGAAATCAAATCCTTGATGATGATACTCATTTCTACACAAACACGATACAACCTATACAAGCCTAGCTGACATCAGTGACATACTATATAGAAAGCTCCTTGTTATGCAGAGCATTTTTGGCAACTTAGGTTAATATTTTCCCCAGGATGCAACCCACACCAGTCGGCTAACATCCAGGTACCTATATGCTGCTAAATGAACAGGGACAATAGGTGTCTTAAGGAAACCTGCCCACCATTTCTACCTCTACTGGGGATCAAACCACTGACAATGTCTGAGCTGAGCATGCTACCAACCAAGCTACAGGACACCATGATGAATTTACTAACCCTTGTATAATTGAAATGATTCATAATGATTTTAACCTTAACAGAAAAAGTTTAGTCGTTTCTTGGTACTCTCTAGATAAGATTAAGTCAGCTGTGTTCTCCGAGGTTTGGCCCTCAATTTTTGCAGAAAATGTTTTGGGAAATGGTAATTGTTTATAGTGAGAGTAATAATTTGATAATTCTTCACAATATGGTCTAAAATGCACATTAATGACCCAAGTCCAATATTAAGTTGCAGTAACTGTAACATAAAATGAATATTCAATTTTAATTTTAGTTACTGTATATAATTGCTTTCATGTGATGAAAATTTCCATGTCAGATGATAGGAAACACACACATTGTCCACTCATTATGAAAGACATTTGTAAGAATTTACTGTATCACTAATTTTTGTAACAATCATCATAAACATGAAAACTTGTGTTTTAAAAAAAAAAGGCACAATAATAATAATAATAATAATAATTAATAATAATTAATAATAATTAATAATAATAATAATAATAATAATAATAATAATATGCTACCACAAATACATGTACAAGGTATACAGACCATAGCTGATGTCAGTGACATACTACTATATAGAAAGCCCCTTGTTATGCAGAGCATTTCAGGCAAATTAGGTCAGTGTCCCAGGATGCGACTCACACCAGTCGACTAACACCCAGGTACCCATTTTACTGATGGGTGAGCATAGACAACAAGTGTAAAGAAACACGTCCAATGTTACTACCCTGGCTGGGAATCGAACCCAGACCCTTGCCGTGTGAAGTGAGAGCTTTAGCTACCAGGCCACCAGAGCCCTTACTGTGACTTGAACAATACACAGATAACTCCCACACAGGTTCAACTAGTTAATCATCCACATTGAACTGTAACATCGTCATGAGTTTTTCTGTGTGGATTATTCGTGCATCTTATTATGCAAAAATCGCAAAACAACCACGGGGGAAGTTGAATGATAGTAAGTGTTGTGGCTTTTTTTTTTTACTTTTTTTATTTATTTTTTAGGTGTGAGCATCCACTTCCCTGATGGCAACAAGAACAGTGAAGTGCGGAAGAGCAATCAGGTGTCGATCAACAGCCGTGGGGAGGAGCTGGCCGGGCTGGAGGAGGCACGGGGAGCTATAAGGGAACTGACTCCTCTTATCTTCACTTTCACTTTGTCAGCAAGTGCCCAGTTCATTAGCATTTCAGATCCCAACATGCTTATACTCCATGTTCAGAACACGTATAATGTTCAGGTATGTTAGTGTTAATATGGAGATGTTTTACTTAGTAATAGTAAAAGGTCTCCTTGTGCTATAATTGTCTTTTTTTAATTAGTTGATGACTCAACTATACTTCAACTAGATTTAATATTATATTGTAAATAAAACAGACATTAAAAAGGCTGAAGTTTATATTAATTGCCTTGAGTTTTTAACCAATACAGTCAAGTTCATAAATAAAATAAATGGAGATTTCCAGATTATACAAAATTAAATTGCTCTATTTTTGTGTTTTGTTAATTTTTTCATATAGGTGGACCTTAAGTTGACTGATGACACGTCGCCTCTTATTGTGGGTTCAGTCCGGGGAAGTGAATGGGATGCAGCCCGGGTCAAGGAGGCAACACTGTGCATCTTGCAGGCATATTGTGACAGACTTGCAGTAAGCATAGATTTAATGAAATGATATAGATGCTTTGTTCTACTTAACTGATTTTTTTTTTCCTAAAAAACATACCTGTATAGAAATACAGGAGGGTCCCACTTATACACCAGGTTAGGTTCCAGGCTACTGCTGTAAATGAAACATGGCCTTTTTTCACTTTCAAATGAACAATATAGCTAGGCCTAAAATATGCATATACAGTACACATATTGCATAACTTAAAATATTTTTGTCCTTAACTTATAGTGAGTGGTGAATATATTTATTGTAGGAAGTCTGAATAAATGAAGAATGGGTATAATTGAAAACTGATGCATTAGCAAAATGCCGTAAAATGAAGTGCTATAAAGCAGGGCTTGCCTGTACTGTACTGTAATGTGTGTGCTTTCTTGAATTTTACACTGGGGGTGCATATACAGTGGACCCCGTTTAACAATATTTTTTCATTCCAGAAGTATGTTCAGGTGCCAGTACTGACTGAATTTGTTCCCATAAGGAATATTGTGAAGTAGATTAGTCCATTTCAGACCCTCAAACATACACGTACAAACGCACTTACATAAATACACTTACATAATTGGTCGCATTGGGAGGTGATCTTAAGAGGGGTCCACTGTATAATAGCTTGGTTAGCATCCCATTACAGTACTGTTGCATATACTATTTAATCTGTACAATGTCAACAGAACCAAATGCCTGTGCAGATGACAGTGGAAATATCTCCACAGCACCACTCTTTTGTTCTGGGGCGAAACAATGAGACTCTTAAACGCATCATGCAGCGAACTGCGACAAAGTAAGTGCCTCTAATAAATTGGTAATTCTTGAGATTTTATAGGTAAATCTTTCAAATAAAATTGTTGAAGTTTGAAGCTCTTAAATTTATTGTGTATTCTCTTTCAAACAAAATCAACTCGCCTGTACCAAACAAAAACCAACTCATCTGTACCAAACAAAAACCAACTCATCTGTACCAAACAAAATCAACCCATCTGTACCAAATAAAATTAACCCATCTGTACCAAACAAAATCAACCCATCTGTACCAAACAAAATCAACCCATCTGTACCAAACAAAATCAACCCATCTGTACCAAACTAAATCAATTCATCTGTACCAAACAAAAATCAAATCATCTGTACCAAACAAACCAACTTGCCTATACCAAACAAAAATCTACTTGCCTATACCAAACAAAACTAACTCGTCTAACTACTACCTGTCTCTTCCCCATCTCTTATAATTGTTCCATAGCCTGAAATCATAGAGCCAGTTAGAAACTACTTAAGAAATTCCAATTAACTCAAGATCACTCGGTCAGTTTAAAGTATTAATACATAAATTTGCACTATTTTTGCTACCTCGCTTTTTAATAATAATGCATACTTAAAATTGTACTACTAAATACCTGTTTAATAATAATAGTATCTTTATTTCTACAAGCACATGTACAAGGTATACAGGCCTAGCTGACATCAATGACATCCTATTATATAGAAAGCCGCTTATGTTAAGCATTTCAGGCAAATTAGGTCAGTTTTTGTCCCAGGGTGCGACCCACACCAGTTGGCTAAGTAAGTTAGTTTATTCAGGTATACACAAATACAGTTATATAGAATTATCATACATTGCAGCATATGTGTAGAGAACCTAGGATAACCCAAAAAAGTCAGTGACTTGTTTCCCAGGTACTACTTATTTTATATATTTTATACTGATGAGTAAACAGGGACAGCAGGTGTCTTAGGGAAACGCATCCCTAATGTTTTCCAGCCATACATACAGAGGTACAAAAAAATACAGGTAAGAGCAGCATGCCAAAGCCACTTGTATGCATAGCATTACGGGCTGGCTTAAAATTAACTTAAGATTAACTAAGCAATGATGTAATCAGTGATAAAACATTATTGTAAACAGATAACAATAAAGCACAAATGAGTATTACAAAGACAGGTCATATGGTTGCATGCATTGCTGTACATTCAGTCGAATGGAGTATTCTGTTAGGTAGTGTATTTAAAAAATAACAAAGTTAGATTGGGTCTTAAGTTTAACATTTATGTGATATAATTGTGAGAAACATTTAAGATATACAATTTATAAGGTTCAGTTATTCAGTACTTATTTGGTTTTGGGTGAGTAAGTGATCTTTGAGAAGAGACTTGAATTTATAAACAGGTAGATATTCGAACTCCAGACCTCAGTGTGTGAGCTGAGTGCGCTAGCGATAGTCTTAAGTAGTCTGTAAGCATTAATATTAGTCTGCCTGAGATGCACAGTATCCTGGTGCCTTTCTTTTATGTTTAACAATATTTCCTGGAGGTGGGAAGTACAATGTTTGCACTTTAAAGGAGGGGTTTAGGATGTTGACTGTTAGAACGACATCTAAGCTGTCAATATGGGCACTTTTGCAAAGACTGTGATTGTGTGAATGATGGTGAAAATTTTTCTTTTTTTGGGTCATCCAGCTTTGGTGGGAGACAGCTGACATGTTAATTAAAAAAAAAATTATTACCTGTAAACTACATTTTTTTATACTTCACCAAGAAATAAAATTTGTTTTTGTAACAGGATAACATTCCCAGACAGTAATGACATTTCCACACCTCTGCTAAAGAAGTCGACCGTCACTATTTCAGGAGCCATAGATAATGTTTACCTTGCTCGACAGAATATTGTAGTAAGTATAAACATAAAAGTATTTTCTTGTTATTCTTCACTGAGGTGAATAGATAGTTGATATAACTTTCTAATTTTTCCAACTAAATGCTTTTATAAGTAACCAAATACTTAAGTGCCAAATGAGAGAGAAAATATAGTAAAGTTAATCTTTTGAGCCCATCTTTATTTTGTCAGTACACTATTAAGGTAAAAAAGATAATATACAAAATAATGTTAACCATTAATGCTTTTACAGGGAGCTTTACCTTTAGTCCTAATGTTCGACTTGATGCCTGACCAAATGGTTGATTCAAATGAGGTGTCACAGATTATGCAGACCCTTGATATTCACATAATCATCAAGAATAAGAGACTAGATGGTCGGCGACCTGTTATTATAAAAGGGGCAGAAAGAAATGCAGGTGTGACTAACAGTGCATGTTTCTAAACCATAGTACGCTGTTTGTGAACCTTTGAAAAATTTGAACATAATTGTGGATATGTGATATACAGTGTAATGCAAGCATCAAACAAATGTCATAACTTAGCAAGTGAAAATCTAAGCTATTACAATGCTTTATGATAAATTTCCTATGATCAAGGTAACATCTACGAGGCTTGGCGGTTACTAGCTAAGGCAGAGAAAATTCCTCCTAAGGCTCGTATCCCTCCAACATACCACATTCCTGATGCAGCACCACTGTATGGGCTTGCCAGTAAGTAATGAACACTAAGGATAACTATTAAGCCATTATTACAAACTTAAAACTGTGTGTTTGTATCATAAATTGTACTACCTCATCTTAATAATAGCATAAAATATTCAGTACTTGTAATCTATCACACTTCACCTGTCTAGACTTAAGTAGTCTTTAAGTATTAAATTAAGTCTCCCCAAAATGCCTTGGCATAATAATGGCTTTCTTTGTACCAATCAAGTTATGAAATGTAAACACACATTGTAACCTTAATAAAGAAATAAAATTTGATTTGATAAGTAATGAAAGAATTGCTATTACTGTTAAAACTACATAGTGGCAAGAACTATTGCAGGACATTGTGACAGGCTCTGAAAAGTCTTTTCGTCTTGTATTTTCTAGGTTTTGTCAAATGTATATGCCCTTTTATATATACTGTGTACAATATATGGTGTACAGCATGTGCATTTTATAAGAAAATAAGAAAGAAGGAACACTGCAGCAAGCCTACTGGCCCATGCGAGGCAGGTCCAATTCTCCTACCGGCTTAAGCCAATGCCCTAACCTAGTCAGGTTAGGTCATGTTCACTTATGGGAAGAGCACGGCATCTGACCTAGTAGCACAAGCTAGTCAGGTCCAACTCTCATCCACCCACACCCACTCGTGTATTTAACGTATTTTTGAAACTACACAATGTCTTGGCTTCTATGAGAGTACTCGGGAGTTTGTTCCACTCATCCACAGCTCTATTACCAAACCAGTGCTTTCCTATATCCTCTCTTAATCTGAATTTTTCCTGAATCAGTTTGGATTCAGGACTAATAAAAGAATAAGCGATGCTATTATACACATGCTAGAACTAATATACACCACCCTCGAGAAGAAAGAAGTCCCACTGGGAATCTTTATTGATTTACGTAAAGCTTTTGATACAGTCGACCATGATTTGCTGCACGTTAAATTAGCACACTATCGTATAAGAGGGCACTCCCTTAACTACCTAAAGTCATACCTTAGTAACAGAAGCCAGTACGTGTACACAAATGGAGCTAATTCTTCCAATTATAGTTGGGGTCCCACAAGGACACTTCCTTGTGGGAAGTGTCCTCTCTCATTTATATCATCACAACTACTCAGACCCATATTATTTGCAGATGACACAACATAAGTCTTCTCTCACCCAAACCCAGTCATACTGGCCAACACTGTTAATTGTGAATTACAGAAAATATCTACCTGGATGATGACTAACAATCTTACACTCAATACTGATAAAACTTATTTCATTCAGTTTGGAAACAGTCACAAGTGTTCCACTTAACATAATGCTAAATGGATCACCCATCACAAGACACACAGGGGAAAATTCCTAGGAATCCTCTTTGACAGTAGCCTTAAATTCCAGACCCATATACAGCAAATTTTTAAGAAAATCTCTAAGACAGTAGGCATACTATCAAAGATAAGGTACTATGTTCCACAATCAGCTCTCCTTGCACTGTATCACTCGCTCATTTATCTTTATCTTGCCTATGGAATTTGTGCATGGGGATCAACATTAAATCACATAAGACCACTAATAACCTAGCAAAAGGCTGCAGTCAGAATAATGATAAATTCCCACTACAGACAGCATACTCCGCCAATATTTAACCCTTTGACTGTCGCAGACGTACATATACATGTACGTCTTACGAGGTACCGTGTTTGACATATACAGTGGACCCCCGGTATTCGATGGCATCGGTATTCGATAAATCTGGTATTCGATGCATTATATCGCAAAAAAATTTTCTTCGGTATTCAATACGATACGTACGAGACCTGTCCATGTGTGGCCAGAACTGCCCCGTGTGCCAGTGTTTACAAGCCAGCCAGTGTGCGCGCATCTAAGGATACATTCGGTACATTCCATATTATCCATATTATCACTGTGTTTGGTGCTTGTTTCTGCAAAATAAGTCACCATGGGCCCCAAGAAAGCTTCTAGTGCCAACCCTGTAGTAAAAAGGGTGAGAATTAGTATGGAAATTAAGAAAGATTTTGAAGGGTTTGGGGCTAACCCTGAGAAGCCTATGCCAGTTGTGGAATCCATTGTCTACTTCAAAAATTAAGGAAATGTGTGCACAGTGGGTTGAACTGCAAACCTTTATGAATGAAAATCACTCTAACACAGCTATTGCAAGCCGTGCTGGTGACTATTACAATGACAATGTTGTGGCCCATTTTAGACAAATCGTAAAGGAACGGGAGGTACAGAGCTCTATGGACAGATTTGTTGTGCGACAGAGATCCAGTGACTCAAGCTGGTCCTAGTGACATTAAAAGAAGGGAAGTAACCCCGGAAAAGGACTTGCTACCTCAAGTCCTAATGGAAGGGGATTCCCCTTCTAAACACTTAACACCTCTCCCCTCCTCCCATCCCATCAATCATCACCAGATCTTCATTAAAGGTAAGTGTCAATTATTTTATTGTTATTGTGATCATTCTATTGCATTAAACTTAATATTTCATGTAGTAAATTTTTTTTTTTTCATACTTTTGGGTGTCTTGCACGGATTAATTTGATTTCCATTATTTCTTGTGAGGAAAATTGATTCGGTTTTCGATATTATCGGTATTCGATGAGCTCTCGGGAACGGATTAATATCGAATACCGGGGGTCCACTGTACTCATAAATTCTAGCGGCTTCAAATCAAGCAGGAGAAAGCTGGTAGGCCCACATGTGAGAGAATGGGTCTGTGTGGTCAGTGTGCACCATATAAAAAAAAAATCCTGAAGCACGCAGTGCATAATGAGAAAAAAAAAACTCCGACCTTTTTTTTTTTTTTTAATTAAAATGCCGACTTTGTGGTCTATTTTCATATAGTATTTATGGTTGTATTCTTGTTTTCTTGGTCTCATTTGATAGAATGGAAAACATTTTATAGAAATTGAGGTGATTTTTGATTGATTTTACTATAAAAAGAACCTGGAAATGGAGCTTAAAGTAGGGGAAATGTTTGATTTTTGCCAATGTTCAAAAGTAAACAAATGATGTCATTGTCCAATAAATGTCCAACTAGCCATTCTAATATGCAGTCATGAATGGGTTGATGTTATTTATACAATTATTACAGTATTGCAGTAGTCTGCATAATAGTAAGTCTTCTATTTTTTGTTTGAATAAAAATTCAAAATAGAAAGCAAGAATAATATCATAGGGGCCTAGAGACATGACTGATGAACAAAGTCAACTGTTATTTTAGAGCCAGGAATGTCTGCATTATTCATTCTGGACCTTATTTTGAAATTGTCATATTTTTTAATTTTCGTGAAAATGGCCAAATTGCAAATTTCTGACCACATTATTGGGTAGTTGAAATCGGTAAATGGGCAGTTTCTTGTACTCTATCAATAGAAAAAATGGAGTTCTAAAGAAATAGCTATGAGTTTGGTCGACTGGAATAACAGAATTAACCGAAAAATAGGGCTCAAAGTGGGCAAAATCGCCGATTTGTAAATATCGCCGAGGTTGCTAACTTTGCGAGAGCATAATTCCGTCAGTTTTCCATCAAAATTCGTTTTTTTTTGGTGTCATTACAATCGGGAAAAGATTCTCTATCATTTCATAAGAAAAAATCATTTTTTTTTTTTTTTTTTTTTTAATTTTGCGACACCAGGAGACACCTCAGGATTGGGGGTTGCGACAGTCAAAGGGTTAACAGCACGCACGACCATAACACTAGACATGTCACTTTTTGATTTACCCCATGTCCACATCACACTGTGTAAGAACTCTATGCACATAAAGGGCCCCAAAATTTGGAATTCATTGCCAGTAAATACTAAAGTAACCCTGTCTGAACATCAATTTGAGACTCTTCTCAAAAACCATTTACTCACCCTAAATTAAATATTCAATACTTGATACTTAAATTTGCCAGAAGATCTCCTAATTACCTAAATCTTAACACTTCAAAATTTAGATACCCAAAGCTCATACATAACTTAATACTACATTGTAGTATAAATACCTGCACTTACACCATAATGTATTATTCTCGTACTGTAAACTACTTTCACCAATGCTCAATATTATATTCCAGTAATATAACTTAAAGATTTACTGTTGATATACAGTAAATACTTTCAAATTGTGTCCCAGTGTAATATCCCCAGATTATAACTTGAGTAAACTTACTGTCTGCTTTAAATAAAAACAGATGTGCAACTTAAACTATGATCAATTTCTCTAGTATTAAGTAGTCTGTGAGCCATTAATTTTAGTCTGGCATGATAGTGGCTCTTTTCACTGCAACTTATTATTGTAACTACAGAATCTCCATGAAAACTTAGAAAGAAATAAAAATTGTATTGTTGCCAGAAAGTTAATTTGAACTTGATAAAGTTAACTTCAATTTGCAAATTTGCACCTGTCCGATATGGCCCTCCCCCTCCTTCCCCCCCCCCCCCCAAGTAACATGATGTATACTCAGCATACATCATATTGGAGAGATGCTTTAATGCTCTTTTTTCTGGTTTGCATTGAAAAATCATTATTAACATCTGGTACCAAATGACATTACTGGATTGCATTAGTCATTTTTGTGATATTTAATTTTTAAACATTTTCTTCTTTCAACCCGTCAGTCGTCTCCCACTGAGGCAGGTGACCCCAAAAAGAAAGGAACGCTTTACTATTATAATAATAATGTAATGTATAAAATGCTGTACACCATTTACTAGATAATATAGAGTATACATAAAAGTGGAGTGTATAGTAGTAGTAGTTTTTCGAATGCCTGTATTATGCTGTGTCGTCGTCGTGCTGTTTTGTCTTGTTTGTGCATTTGTTATAAATAGTTTTTTTGGTTTGCTACAAATTTGCATTAGTTGTCACTGACACTAGTTTATTTCTAGCAGATCTGAACCTGAGTCAGTGGTTGGGAGGTGGAAGTGGGGGTTCATCACCCCTCCCATCTCCGACAGGCACTCCAAGCCCTCAGGTCCACCCTAGTGCACTGTGGGGAAGTCTAACCCCTTCTAGTAGTCCGCTTCCTTCACACCTGTCATGTACACAATACAGCACCATGTTCGACCCACCTTGTAAGTGCACCTTTTATTTCAGTCAGTTATAGTAAGTTAATTTTATTGTAGACTGTTCCTACTGTATATTACTAAGTGTATTTACACATTCGTAATCAGTATAGATTTTTTGATGAATGTATTTTTAAAAGCCGACCCCTCAAGGAAGTTCTTTGATGTTGGTGAGGGGCTCTTGATCTAGGGAATTGGATCTGTGCTCCAGTTCCTTAAATACCTTCCATATCCTTCCCACAGGCACTGCATAATCCTATGGGTTTAGTGCTCCCCCTTGATTATAATAATAATAATTTAAGTCTCCCTGCCTCGGTGGGAGACGGCTGACTTGTTGAAGAAAAAAAAAAAAATTTAAGTCGAATTTCATAGAAAATAAATGTAATTTTTTTTCAATACACCGGCTGTTTCTCACCAAGGCAGTGTGATCCAAAAAGAAAACAAAAGTTTTTCTTTTTACTTGTAATAAAAATGTATTTTCTTTCATTCAACAAACCGGCCGTATCCCACCAAGGCAGGGTGGCCCAAAAAAGAAAAACGAAAGTTTCTCTTTTTAAATTTAGTAATCTATACAGGAGAAGAGGTTACTAGCCCCTAAAAATGTATTTATACAAATTATATTTTCATAGGGAGTAGTGTCTTCATAAATGTGTAAATACCATCTCAAAATCTCTCTTTATGCAGCTTCATACTACACAACAAACTTGCTTCTCCAGTCAAGTTCCTCCAGCTGCAACAATAACAACAGCAACATGCCAAATAACAACCTCAACAACTGTATCTTGCCAAAAGATACAGGAGGACTTACCATGAGTTCAGGAGTCAACTTAAACTCTCTTGTCAGTGGGATCAACAGTATGACTATCTCAAATGGTGTGGATGGTAATGTATTATTTGTATCCAGTATTTTAAAATGTGCAAGTTCCTTTTTCCAAATGTTATAAGACCTTTTGGTTTGGTGTACTATTGTCCCGTGAATGTGTAAGATTTATTACACTACAATGATCATTTTTTTAACACAACAGCGGTCTCCCACTGAGGCAGGGTGACCCAAAAAAGAAGAAACTTAAAGTACTATCAACAAATTTTACTAATTGATAGCTTCTGACTTACTAAGGCTTTCCTAATGAAAGGAGAGGTAGTGCTCGTGCAGCAAATAAAATACAGCCTCTCCTCACTTAACGACTGAGTTCTGATCCTAAGACCACATTATTAAACGAATGTGTTGCTAAGTGAGGAGCGTACTATAATGGTATGTAGATGAATGGTTCATACTATAATGGCAGTGCATTTGTGTCAACCATCTTTGATACTGTTTTAATGTCACCTTTGCACCATTTATAATGCACATACAATACACACATTACTTACTTTAAAATATTTTTGTGCTTAGCTTATAATGAGTGGTGAATATATTTATTGTAGGAAGTCTGAATAAATGAAGACTGTGTATAATTGAAAACCACAGCATTAGCAAAACGCCGTAAGCAAAGTGCTGTGAAATGGAGCCTGATTGTAATTCACTGAGGGGTTTAGTATTCAGTGTCGGTTTCTTTTCCCCTCTTCCCCTCAAAAGTTACTTAACAACATATCAACAACTCTTCAACCCTGTCAAGTAGTGAATATATACCAGTAAAGCCATCTAAACTGTCATGTCTGGGCATCTCTGCAAAGACAATGATATTGTGTTAATGATGGTGAAAGTGGTTTTTCTTTTTTGGGGTCGCCCTGCCTTGGTGGGAGACGGCCGTCATGTTAAAGAAAAAAATATGCATACAGGATTTCAACCAAAATAGAGTACAGGAAACATTTATCTTTCATAATGTTAATGTCGTCTTACCATTGATTGTGCCATGTTGAATTGTACATTTGGTTTGCTGTATCTACTTCATTTAGAGGAAGGCTGGGCTCTAGCTCTTGATACTGCTTCTTAATATTACTGTATGTACAGGTTTATCAAATTAATTGTTCAAATCAGTCTAATCAAAATTTTGATTTTCCAAACGTTACATAGAAATATAAAGAATTGAAAATCAAATAGTATGCACAGCATTGAGCAGACCTAAATAATACTAAATAGTCACATAGATCTGTTACTTAATAATAGGCCTTAACATGAATTTGCATACGTGAGGATTAGATTACTAGAATGTTAAGTTAATATAACAGGTGATGTGAAGAGATGATAATTTTGACTAGATTAACAATTTGGTTATGATTGAGTGGTAGAACCATAGTGGTGATGAAAATTAATGATCATATACAATCAACTTGCATAATATAACATTCATGTCATATTTAGGTGTTTTTTCCAACAATATTGAAGCAATTAGCAAGGGCAAGCTGGCATGTTTAAAAGTCTAATCACACGTGGTATAATGGGGTAACCTCTGGTTGCGACTGCAAATTTGGTTTCATTACAAATATCTTATCATTTAGCAACAATTTTGACCCCATTTTATTAAAGTGAGAAAAATGGGGTCAAGAAAATAAATTGTTTATAAATTTAAACAAGACTAAAATACTGTGGATCAGTAGTGCTAGTTTGGCTTATCCAGGGTAGAAATGATTGCATTTAGTTATGGCTTCTAATGAATGGCAGTTAATTCTTAGCTACCATTTTTCCTCATAGCTTTTGCAGATGCTTCATGTGGAACAAGCAGTAACAGTGGGAGTTCTCTGTCATCCCCAGCACCATCTCCTCGAGACCCATCGCCAGACCAGGTCATCAACAGCCACATGTCCACCACCTCCCACCAGAGTCAATATATGGACACAGACTCTACCACCACGGATGAAATAAATGGTAAGCACCAATTATGCCCATCCTGCCCAAATTTTGTGCCCTGACTTGACTTTTCTCCCAGTTATTCCTCCAATTCAACCCAACCTAAGCTCATCACCCACGGGAAAGATCTTTAGCCTCTCAAAATCAGACTTAAACTAGCATATTGGAGCAGTGGGGTACTAAGGGTAATAACATGAATTATAGAATATTTACTGCACTGGAACTAGGGCATCAGGATTTGGGTATTCCTAGTAGAATCTCTGTGATCAATTGTTTCTCAATATTTCAAGTTAGCAAGTTAATAAAGATGTCAGTAAATTGAGGTTGTCAACAACTATTTGTTTAAAGTGTTGGAAAATTAAATAGTTCTAAAGCCTTTTAAATTGTACAGATCTAATCAAATTGCCAAAGTCAAAAATATTTAAAAAATTTAGACATTAGTGTGGTCAAGAAGTGGGATAACTTGGAATTAAAGTTAATGATGGCTCAAAATGGTGGCTCAAACTGTAGTAGACATTCGATATTTTGTCAGTCAGAATAAGTAGCTGGATTCTTAAGAAATATGCTGGCTGCATATATTTTAAAATACTGCTTTATAAATGTGCTTGATAGCCATATTGTTTTGCAGCAATATCTGCGTTACTGACAGACATTGACCGCCGAGCTCCTGGGTGTGAGAAAAAGCGTATAGAGATGGCCGCACTAAAGATGACAGACTACAATTCAAAGAAAGTCCAGGCAGCTAAAGGTTAGAGAATCTATTGAATAGAAAAACCAATCATTGATATACTTAAGCTCATAGTTAAGAGACATTCATGTCAGCAGCTTATCTATAAATGAATATGGAGATAAAAGGTATAAAATACTGACACGATGGAAAAATAAACAAATGCAGTATAATGCAATCCTTTATTGACAATGTTTTGCCCACACAGTGGACTTTATCAAGTCACAAACAGATCAGTTTGTGAATTGATAAAGCCCCCTGTGGGTGAAACATTGTCAATAAAGGATCACACTATATTGCATTTGTTTATTTTTCCATGAATAAATACTTTGGTGAACACTGAATGTTTAAAGTTTCAACCTTAATTTTTGCCACACAATTGGATAACAAAAAGATTAGATGATGAAAGATTGGATATCAGATTGGAGGGAGAGAGTATGGAGGAGGTGAATGTATTCAGATATTTGGGAGTGGACATGTCAGCGGATGGGTCTATGAAGGATGAGGTGAATCATAGAATTGATGAGGGGAAAAGGGTGAGTGGTGCACTTAGGAGTCTGTGGAGACAAAGAACTTTGTCCTTGGAGGCAAAGAGGGGAATGTATGAGAGTATAGTTTTACCAACACTCTTATATGGGTGTGAAGCATGGGTGATGAATGTTGCAGCGAGGAGAAGGCTGGAGGCAGTGGAGATGTCATGTCTGAGGGCAATGTGTGGTGTGAATATAATGCAGAGAATTCGTAGTTTGGAAGTTAGGAGGAGGTGCGGGATTACCAAAACTGTTGTCCAGAGGGCTGAGGAAGGGTTGTTGAGGTGGTTCGGACATGTAGAGAGAATGGAGCAAAACAGAATGACTTCAAGAGTGTATCAGTCTGTAGTGGAAGGAAGGCGGGGTAGGGGTCGGCCTAGGAAAGGTTGGAGGGAGGGGGGTAAAGGAGGTTTTGTGTGCGAGGGGCTTGGACTTCCAGCAGGCATGCATGAGCGTGTTTGATAGGAGTGAATGGAGACGAATGGTTTTTAATACTTGACGTGCTGTTGAAGTGTGAGCAAAGTAACATTTATGAAGGGGTTCAGGGAAACCGGCAGGCCGGACTTGAGTCCTGGAGATGGGAAGTACAGTGCCTGCACTCTGAAGGAGGGGTGTTAATGTTGCAGTTTAAAAGCTGTAGTGTAAAGCACCCTTCTGGCAAGACGGTGATGGAGTGAATGATGGTGAAAGTTTTTCTTTTTCGGCCCACCCTGCCTTGGTGGGAATCGGCCAGTGTGACAATAAAAAAAATAAATAATAAATTGGAGTAGTCTATAGAAAGATTTTGCCAAAAATATATTAAGCATTTTGAGGCTTTAATAGGTATTAAAGTCAGCTTGTTTTGTCCTGCAGTTGTCATTTTAAATATCTAACCATCTGACACATTAAATCAGTCTTGTATGACACATTTACTGGGAAATAGTCACTAGAATTTTCTCTTTTGAAGTGTTAATTTAATTTCATATAAAAAAAAAAATGAAATATTGCCCTGAATTTTGAATACTTTTATATTAAGCACTATATTCACGAAATTTCCTGTAAATTAGTCAGTTAAGATGACACGGCAACTTCTTATAGCTTTGTGTAGTGGCATTATCATAAGTTGATGTTTATTCAACTGTATGCGCTAATAACCAATAGCACTACATGTATCCATTGCTTATTTTTTATATTCATTAATAAAGAAGGGTGTGAAGATGTCCTATGACAGCAGGTGCTTTAGTCAAGGAAATTCTTTCTCCTGTTTCAAAATTGATGAACTTGTAATTTTTGGTTGCTTCCCAACAGCCATGAAAGAGCAAGTCAGTTCCAGTCCTCGAACACCAACTTCAAGCTGGTCGGGCTATGGATTCAGTAAAAGTATGCCAGGCTTCATGATTCGACAAAAAATGCAGGAGAATAAATTGCTCAAGTCTAATCAGGTGATGAAATACTTACTGTAGTGTAGTGTGTAATACTTAGTTTTTTTTTCAGCTTAGTAGCCTTCACATTTTTAACCACAGCCTTTCAAAGGTTGTGAACAGGGTAATATTGCTTTCTTAATTGTTGGTAAGTTGAATTGAAAGTACAATGCCTGCATTCAGAAGGATAGAATTGGGATGTTATTTGGTGGGTTATTAGAGTTGTGATGTCTGTGCACTTCTGGCAAGACGGCTAGATAATGAGTGATGGTGAATGTATTTCCTCTTTACCTTGTATTACCATAACTTGGGAAAAGTAGATTGTGTTAAAAATATAAGTTATTTCAGTGTTGATGCAACTTTAACTTATTACCTATGATTTTAGTTATACTTTCTGCTTTGTACATGAATAGTATACAATACCGACAAGATGAAAATTAGACATGTGCAACATCTGGATATCTTTATTGTAGACGTTTCACCATCCTGTGGCTTTATCACTACAGATTCTAGGACATAATTTGAAGACAGAACTATATACAAAAGATGAGGTAATCAGTCCCTCAGCCTTGGAGTTGGTGTGAAGAGCACTGTAGTCGTGAAGATTCTGGAGCACAGGCAAGAAGGCAGGTGCTTGTGTACTGGTGTCAGGTGGATAGGGACAGGTAGCAGACTATTACATAGTCACTGATAGGTGGGATTCCCCAGTGGAAGTAGGTCATACTCAAGGGTGGGTTAGTGGTAGCTGTGAAGAAGGTTATGTATTTGTCCTCTGAACCAAGATTCCATGATGTTCCAGTGTCTGACAAGTTGTACATGAATGGTATACAATACCAACAAGATGAAAATTAAACGTGCAACATCTGGCTATCTTTACTGTAGATGTTTTGCCATCTAGTGGCTTATCAATACAAATTCTAGGACATAATTTGAAGACAGTAGAATGTCTACAATAAAGAAACTTAGATGCTGCACATGTCTAATTTTCACTTTCTGCTTTACATTTCACTACCTATCTAAAATCTGCAACATTCTTTTAAATATACATCACTTGCAGAACAAACAGGGTTCAAATACCATGGCAAGCCAATCCTATAAGTAGCAGATCAGTGCTCTAGCCACCATACCATGCTGGCCTAATATGCTTTGTGGGTGGGTGCTGTAGAGCTACGGCTTAGAAGTGCAGGTTAGTGGTGGTGTAGTTGTATGTGATGAGCTCAGCTCACTGACACGTTGTGAGCAGTAAATTTTGGCCTAGGGGAGTTAGTAGATGGGGAGAGGGAGGTATTAGGTAGATGGCGAGAATATTTTGAGGAACTTTTAAATGTTGAGGAAGAAAGGGAGGCGGTAATTTCATGCACTGGTCAGGGAGGTATACCATCTTTTAGGAGTGAAGAAGAGCTGAATGGAAGTGTGGGGGAGGTACTTGAGGCATTACGTAGAATGAAAGGGGGTAAAGCAGCTGGAACTGATGGGATCATGACAGAAATGTTAAAAGCAGTGTTGGAGTGGTTGGTACTTTTGTACCACCAATCTCTGCAACTTCTGAAGAGAAGTTGCAGAGATTGATGGATGAATTTGGTAGGGTGTGCAAAAGAAGAAAATTAAAGGTGAATACAGGAAAGAGTAAGGTTATGAGGATAACAAAAAGATTAGGTGATGAAAGATTGAATATCAGATTGGAGGGAGAGAGTATGGAGGAGGTGAACGTATTCAGATATTTGGGAGTGGACGTGTCAGCGGATGGGTCTATGAAAGATGAGGTGAATCATAGAATTGATGAGGGAAAAAGAGTGAGTGGTGCACTTAGGAGTCTGTGGAGACAAAGAACTTTGTCCTTGGAGGCAAAGAGGGGAATGTATGAGAGTTTAGTTTTACCAACGCTCTTATATGGGTGTGAAGCGTGGGTGATGAATGTTGCAGCGAGGAGAAGGCTGGAGGCAGTGGAGATGTCATGTCTGAGGGCAATGTGTGGTGTGAATATAATGCAGAGAATTCGTAGTTTGGAAGTTAGGGGGGAGGTGCGGGATTACCAAACTGTTGTCCAAAAGGGTGAGGAAGGGTTGTTGAGGTGGTTCGGACATAGAGAGAATGGAGCGAAACAGAATAACTTCAAGAGTGTATCAGTCGTAGTGGAAGGAAGGCGGGGTAGGGTCGGCCTAGGAAGGGTTGGAGGGAGGGGGTAAAGGAGGTTTTGTGTGCGAGGGGCTTGGACTTCCAGCAGGCATGCGTGAGCGTGTTTGATAGGAGTGAATGGAGACAAATGGTTTTTAATACTTGACGTGCTGTTGGAGTGTGAGAAAAGTAACATTTATGAAGGGATTCAGGGAAACCGGCAGGCCGGACTTGAGTCCTGGAGATGGGAAGTACAGTGCCTGCACTCTGAAGGAGGGGTGTTAATGTTGCAGTTTAAAAACTGTAGTGTAAAGCACCCTTCTGGCAAGACAGTGATGGAGTGAATGATGGTGAAAGTTTTTCTTTTTCGGGCCACCCTGCCTTGGTGGGAATCGGCCGGTGTGATAATAAAAATAAAATAAAAGAGGGGAAGGTACCTAGGGATTGGCAGAGAGCATGTATAGTCCCTTTATGTAAAGGGAAAGGGGACAAAAGAGATTGTAAAAATTATAGAGGAATAAGTTTATTGAGTATACCAGGAAAAGTGTACAGTAGGGCTATAATTGAAAGAATTAGAGGTAAGACAGAATGTAGGATTGCGGATGAGCAAGGAGGTTTCAGAGTGGGTACGGGATGTGTAGATCAAGTGTTTACATTGAAGCATATATTTTATTTTTTTATTATCACACTGGCTGATTCCCACCAAGGCAGGGTGGCCCGAAAAAGAAAAACTTTCACCATCATTCACTCCATCACTGTCTTGCCAGAAGGGTGCTTTACACTACATTTTTAAACTGCAACATTAACACCCCTCCTTCAGAGTGCAGGCACCGTACTTCCCATCTCCAGGACTCAAGTCCGGCCTGCCGGTTTCCCTGAACCCCTTCATAAATGTTACTTTGCTCACACTCCAACAGCACGTCAAGTATTAAAAACCATTTGTCTCCATTCACTCCTATCAAACACGCTCACGCATACCTGCTGGAAGTCCAAGCCCCTCGCAGAACAGTATTTAGATAAAGGTAGGGAAAGTTTTTATTGCATTTATGGATTTAGAAAAGGCATATGATAGTGGATAGGGGAGCAATGTGGCAGATGTTGCAAGTATATGGAATAGGTGGTAAGTTACTAAATGCTGTAAAGAGTTTTTATGAGGATAGTGAGGCTCAGGTTAGGGTGTGTAGAAGAGAGGGAGACTACTTCCCGGTAAAAGTAGGTCTTAGACAGGGACGTGTAATGTCACCATGGTTGTTTAATATATTTATAGATGGGGTTGTAAAAGAAGAAAATGTTTAGGGTGTTCGGGAGGGGGTGGGATTAAATTATAGGGAATCAAATTCAAAATGGGAGTTAAGTTACTTTTTGCTGATGATACTGTGCTTATGGGAGATTCTAAAGAAAAATTGCAAAGGTTAGTGGATGATTTTGGGGAATATGTGTAAAGGTAGAAAGTTGAAAGTGAACATAGAAAAGAGTAAGGTGATGAGGGTATCAATGATTTAGATAAAGAAAAATTGGATATCAAATTGGGGAGGAGGAGTATGGAAGAAGTGAATGTTTTCAGATATGTACTTGGGAGTTGACGTGTCGGCAGATGGATTTATGAAGGATGAGGTTAATCATAGAATTGATGAGGGAAAAAAGGTGAGTGGTGCTTTTTGAGGTATATGGGGGAGTCAAAAAACCTTGTCTATGGAGGCAAAGAAGGGAATGTATGAAAGTATAGTAGTACCAACACTCTTATATGGGTGTGAAGCTTGGGTGGTAAATGCAGCAGCGAGGTTGGAGGCAGTGGAGATGTCCTGTCTAAGGGCAATGTGTGGTGTAAATATTATGCAGAAAATTCGGAGATGGAAATTAGGAGAAGGTGTGGAGTTAATAAAAGTATTAGTCAGAGGGCCCAGAAGAGGGGTTGTTGAGGTGGTTTGGTCATTTAGAGAGAATGGATCAAAGTAGAATGACATGGAAAGCATATAAATCTATTGGAGAAGGAAGGTGAGGTAGGGGTTGTCCTCGAAAGGGTTGGAGAGAGGGGGTAAAGGAGGTTTTGTGGGGAAGGGGCTTGGACTTCCAGCAAGTGTGCGTGAGCGTGTTAGATAGGAGTGAATGGAGACGAATGGTACTTGAGACCTGACGATCTGTTGGAGTGTGAGCAGGGTAATATTTAGTGAAGGGATTCAGGGAAACCGGTTATTTTCATATAGTCGGACTCGAGTCCTGGAAATGGGAAGTACAATGCCTGCACTTTAACCCTTTGACTGTTTCCGACGTATAAATACGTCTTACGAGCCAATGTTTCTGACGTATTTATACACACAAATTCTAGCGGCTTCAAATCAAGCGCCAAAGGCCTGATAGGCCTACAAAAGATAGAATGGGTCTCAGTGGTCAGTGTGCACCCTGTGAAAAAAATCTGGGACCCAGCGGTGCATTGTGGGAACGCCATGTTGTTAGTCCATTTTCACCATGCCTCTCGGTAAGAAGTTCCTCACTCCTCGGCGGATTGGAGGTCTTTTGTTCCCAAGTGATAGCTCTAACAGGGGATTGAAAATCTCAGTGACAGTGAATTTCCAGGGTTTTGAAGTGAGTGTTACTGGAAAAAGTGCCCAGGATAACGTAATTAGTGATGAAAACCCAGATGACCCACAACCTTCCACCTCTGGTGCTGTGCCGGCTTGTTCACGTTCACGTTCGCCTGTACCAGGACGAAAGAGGAAACTATTTGGTCGTGTACAACACCCAGATGATAGCAGTGATAGAGATTTCAAGGTCGTTGAAAGCAGTTCTAGTGACAGTGAGAGTGAATATTCCCCAGTGAAGCGCCAGTATGTACGACGTAGCATGCGGTCTGGTAGTGTTTCATATGTTGTTCCAAGGGGAAGGAGAAACTCTGGGAGCACATCCTGTGGCCCTACACCACGACCTGATAGTGAAGATGACGATATTGTAACGATGGGTATGAATGGTGACAGTGAGGGAGGAGGCAGTGGTGGTGATAGTGAGGGTGGCACGGCCCATATGGCACCATCAGCGGGCCACGCTACTACCCACGCTGCTGACGCAGCACAACAACCAGCCTCACCCTACCCCACACTCCCACAACCTGCACCACCACAACCTGCACAACCCCCAGCCCAAATACAATATCCAGACCCCACCAGCAGACCGCATCTGGGATTGGCAGGACGGTGACGAGTTTGTTCCCAGTCCCCATGACTTTGATGAAACACAAAGTGGAATAAAGCCATCTTGTTTCCCCTTGGGAAAAAGTGCCCGTGAACTGGACTGCTTTGAGTTATTCTTCGATGAACCCCTGATGGACATCATTGTCAAGGAAACAAACACATACTGTGATTACACCATGGGAAAAACAATTCTCTCACCAAAAAACACGGCTACACAAGTGGAAGGAGACAACTGTTGGCAGAGATGTACTGTTTTTTGCCCCAATAATGCTTATGCCACATGTGTATAAGCACACTGTCACCACATATGGGCAACAGAAAAGCCTGATTTCAACTCCAGGTTTTAGTGACAATTATAGGTGTCAATCGTTTCCTGATACTGTTACGTATTTTACACTTTTCAAAACAAAACCAGGCCTGACAGAAGCGACAGGTTATATAAACAGAAATGTGTTTATGTATCTGAAACAAAAGTGCTGCATGTATTTTTATCCCTTCAGGAAGCTTGTTATTTATGAGTCCTTTATTTTATTCAAAGGAAGACCACTCATTCAAGCAATATATACCAAGCAAGAGGAAATTTCTTTGGTATAAAGCTATTTGTACTGTGTGATTGCAGAAGTGGTCTAGTTTTGGATATCATTGTGTACACTGGCAGTAATACTTTGAGAGATACCATGAAGTTATTGGGTATCTCTGGTGATGTGGTTCGAACAATGATGGAACCATATCTTGGTAAGGGGCATATGTTATTTACTGATAACTGGTACACAAGCCCCTTACTCAGTGATTTCTTGCGAGTGAACTTGACAGACGTGTGTGGCACAGTGCGTGGTAATCGTAAACATATGCCAAAGTTCAACGCTGGCACTCGCATAGGTGAGGTGCAAGCCTTTGCTGCCAGTGACATCATGGCATTTCGGTGGCATGACAAACGTGATGTCACATTGTTGACAGTTCACAGAAACGAAATGGTACCCAGTGGCAGGGACAACAGAGAAAAGGACAATGAACCCATTCTAAAGCCTGCAGCTGTTATGGACTAAAAACCTCAATATGCGCTTAGTGGACAAATGTGACATGCAGATTGGGTTTGCAGACTGTGTACGCAAGAGTTATAAGTGGTATATAAAACTTTTTTTCCGTCTTGTTGATATCTCTATGCTAAATGCTTATAACATATACAAGTTGAAGACCAACAAAACACCAAAATATGGTGAATTTAGCATGTCAGTAATCAGACAAATAATTGCAAAGTACCAAGGAGCAACTCCTGCAATAGACCAGCGCTCACAGACGTCATCTCGTTTGAGGCCTGGTGATCACTACCCCATACAACTGCCTCCTACTACTGCCAAGAAAAATGCTCAGAAGAGGTGTTATGTATGTATGCATACCACAAAACTCCCACAAACAGCAGAGACATCGTTTTATGTGTGAGGAGTGTGAAGTGCCCCTCTGCATATATCCATGTTTTAAAGAGTTCCCCAAGCTGGCAGCAGTTCTAGGAATGTGGTTAGTGATGTAATATGTTATATATTATGGAACAATAGTAATAAACATTGTTTTGTATTGTTTGTTTGTGTAAACAAAGTGTATACACAAACTAATAGTGATAAAGTTTGTTCTGTTATTGTGTTGTAAATTAATGAGTGTTTATTTGAAGAATGCACCTTTCATTGGTCTCACAGGCCACATAAGTTACCTGGAAAAGAAAATATTGAAAAGGCAAGAAAACCTTTGAATTAGAGTAAATAAAAGAATACCGGGTGGGCGGCGGTCGCCGCTGTTGCCATACGCACGTCACTTTCTGCAAACTTTGCGGCTCTATATCTCGGTAAGTACTGATGGCAAAAAATTTTTTTTAGGCTTAAAACACTACTAAAAATATTCCTAACATTTTCATAAGAAAAAATAATTTTTTTTTTTTTCGAATATTTGGCGACATAGAATGACAGTTTCAGAGAGGGCCCTGAAACAGTCAAAGGGTTAAAGGAGGGGTTTCTGATATTGGCAGTTTGGAGGGATATGTTGTGTATCTTTATATGTATATGCTTCTAAACTGTTGTATTCTGAGCACCTCTGCAAAAACAGTGATTATGTGTGAGTGTGGTGAAAGTGTTGAATGATGATGAAAGCATTTTCTTTTTGGGGATTTTCTTTCTTTTTTGGGTCACCCTGCCTTGGTGGGAGACGGCCGACTTGTTGAAAAAAAAAAAAATGAATGAATAGGTCTGGGGAGTGGGCACCATGTAAAAAAGTTCTGCTTCACATAGTGCATGTTGGGAGGAAAAAAAAAAAGTTGTGACTGGTATTGGTTTAAAACAAAGGCTTTGTGGTGTATTTTTGTATTGTTTTTATGGTTGCATTCTCAGTTTCTTGGTCTCGTTTGATAGAATGGAAGATATATTACGTAAATAGATATGATTTTGATTGGTTTCGGGACTCAAAGTAGCTCAAAATTGATCTCAAAGTAGCGGAAGTGTTCGATTTTTGCCAACGTTCCAGAACACACAGATAACATCATTTGTCCAGTATGCATCCAACTGGTCAGTCTGTGTGTTCAGGAATATACTGATTTATTATTTTTATTATCACACTGGCCGATTCCCACCAAGGCAGGGTGGCCCGAAAAAAGAAAAACTTTCACCATCATTCACTCCATCACTATCTTGCCAGAAGGGTGCTTTACACTACAGTTTTTAAACTGCAACATTAACACCCCTCCTTCAGAGTGCATTCACTGTACTTCCCATCTCCAGGACTCGAGTCCGGCCTGCCGGTTTCCCTGAACCCCTTCATAAATGTTACTTTGCTCACACTCCAACAGCGTCAAGTTTTAAAAAAACCCTTTGTCTCCATTTACTCCTTCAAACACGTCACACATGCCTGGAATCCAAGCCCCTGCACACAAAACCTCCTTAACCCCCTCCCCCAACCCTTTCCTAGGCGACCCCACCCCGCCTTCCTTCATACAGACTGATACACTCTTTTAAGTCACTTTTCGCCCATTCTCTCTACATACTGAGTTATACAAATATTAAAGTAATTCAAAGCTACATAACAGTAATATTTGTTTTTTTTTAGAAATTAAAAAATTTAAATTGGGAAAAGGAAAATAAAATGGAGAGGCCCCTGGGGACAATAATAAACAGAGGAAATGTTTTTAGTGCCAGGAATATTTATATTGTTTATTCTAAATCCTATTTTTAAATTGGCCATTTTTATAATTTTGAGAAATTGGCCAAATTACCAATTTCTGATCATATTATTGGGTGGTTGAAATGGGCAATTTGTTGTACTCAATCGAGGGAATAGAAGGAATACTAGTGAAATAGCTACAAGTTTGGCCAACCAGACCAACAGAATTGGCCAAAAATAGGGCTCAAATTGGGTGAAATCGCCAATGCATTAATATTGATGAGACCGCTAATTTCACAAGAGCTTAATTCCTTAAGTTTTTCATCAAATTTTGAACTTTTGGTTCCATTACCTTAGGAAAAAGATTCTCTATATCTTTTCATATAGTATTTTCTTTTTATTATTCTTTGATCCTGAGATCAATTCTCAGATCAGCAGTTCTGACACTGAAAGGAGATTCACCCTACTGTTAGGCCAGCATGGTACAGTGGATAGAGCATTGGTCTGCTTGGTTTTTAATTATCTTGTCAAGAGTTAGAAGCCTGTCTGTTCCATGTTTAAAATCCTAATGTGCCTTAGTCAAATACACAGTACTTTTGTAGGAGGAATGAAAGTACAAAATAATAAAGGTACATTATAAAATAGGATGGCCACTGTTTGAGTTTTTTAAAGATTTACTTCAAAATACTATTTAGAGAAGGTGGGAATAAATTTTTAATGTATAGTGAGCATTCTCTTGATCCATCGTTCTCTCTAGCATATAAATCTGGGTGAATCATATGTTTAGTACATACTACAAATGTTGATTTTTTACAAAATTACATGATTTATGGTCCCTTAAACTGTACTAAAAGTTGTATATATTTTTTTGTGATGTTTCTATGGTTATTTTATATTAAAAGGGAGGACTGGAGGGCTGGGATGAGTGGCAGCAACAGGACAGTGGTGCTGGAGACTTTTCTTCTTGCCAGGCTATGTCCAGTCTACATTATCCATCTCATATGACACAAGTAAGTAAGCTGCTTTGCAATGCAGGCAGATTTGTAAATTACATATATAAATGAGTCATGGGGTTATAAAATAATTAGAGTTTTCAATAAATGACATGAGCTCAACTGGTTGAGGTAGGACCAAGAGCTGTATTAATATTGGTAGTTACCAACAGTGTTAAGTAAAAGGACACAAGTGCAACCAATGTGACATTTTATTATGGCAATGTTTCGCTCTCTGTAACTTTGCCACAATAAAATGTCACATCAGTTGCATTTGTGTCCTTTTTACAGTACCAAGAGCTGTTGATCTCCCTCCCTACAAACTCGAACAGGTAATTACACACACGTATGTACAGTACATGTCTTTCAGAAAGAACAAAAAAGATAATCAGGATATACAAAAAGTACTGAGTTGCAGACACTTATATAGAGATGAAACAATAACAAAAGTTACAAAGCTGTGTACCCACATGAGCCGCAGATATCAGAAAATACGACAGTTGTAAAGGAATGAAGTGAAATCTAAACACTGGTAATAGATTCAATGCTTGAGTTAAAATATACACGACAACTCTTTATATTGGTCTAGAAAGTTAATAAACAGGATTAAAGCTAGCTCTCTCTCCCCCCCCCTCCCAACACTCAAGGGATGGATAATTACACATGCAATCCACTGAGATCTGTAGTACCTTATGTATGGTGTTAACATATGTTCAAACCTAATTATTTTCACTAAAGTGGGACCAAGTAAACCAAGTCCTAACCGATATAAGCTGGGAAGATATACTAAGCAACACAGACCCCAACTTATGCCTAGAACAGATTAACTCGGTAGCACTCGATGTATGCACAAGGCTTATTCCTCTAAGAAAAAGGAGGAGTAGATGTAAAACAGAAAGAGACAGGCGCTCCCTTTACAGGCGACGGAAAAGAATAACAGAGGGGCTAAAAGAGGTCAATATATCTGAAATGCGTAGGGAGACACTGGTCAGAGAAATAGCAAGCATCGAACTTAAGCTAAAAGAATCCTTTAGGAGTCAGGAATCGCGGGAAGAACTAAAAGCCATAATGAAATCGAAAGAAACCCAAAGTATTTCTTCTCCTATGCCAAATCAAAATCGAGAACAACGTCCAGTATTGGGCCCCTACTTAAACAAGATGGGTCCTACACAGATGACAACAAGGAAATGAGTGAGCTACTCAAGTCCCAATATGACTCAGTTTTTAGCAAGCCGCTAACCAGACTGAGAGTCGAAGATCAAAATGAATTTTTTATGAGAGAGCCACAAAATTTGATTAACACAAGCCTATCCGATGTTATCCTGACGCCAAATGACTTCGAACAGGCGATAAATGACATGCCCATGCACTCTGCCCCAGGGCCAGACTCATGGAACTCTGTGTTCATCAAGAATGCAAGAAGCCCCTATCACGAGCCTTTTCCATCCTATGGAGAGGGAGCATGGACACGGGGGTCGTCCCACAGTTACTAAAAACAACAGACATAGCCCACTCCACAAAGGGGGCAGTAAAAACAACAGCAAAGAACTACAGACCAATAGCACTAACATCCCATATCATAAAAATCTTTAAAAGGGTCCTAAGAAGCAAGATCACCACGCATCTAGAAACCCATCAGTTACACAACCCAGGGCAACATGGGTTTAGAACAGGTCGCTCCTGTCTGTCTCAACTATTGGACCACTACGACAAGGTCCTAAATGCACTAGAAGACAAAAAGAATGCAGATGTAATATATACAGACTTTGCAAAAGCCTTCGACAAGTGTGACCATGGCGTAATAGCGCACAAAAATGCGTGCTAAAGGAATAACAGGAAAAGTCGGTCGATGGATCTATAATTTCCTCACTAACAGAACACAGAGAGTAGTCGTCAACAGAGTAAAGTCCGAGGCAGCTACGGTGAAAAGCTCTGTTCACAAGGCACAGTACTCGCTCCCATCTTGTTCCTCATCCTTATATCCGACATAGACAAGGAGTGTCAGCCACAGCACCGTGTCTTCCTTTGCAGATGACACCCGAATCTGCATGACAGTGTCTTCCATTGCAGACACTGCAAAGCTCCAGGCAGACATCAACCAAATCTTTCAGTGGGCTGCAGAAAACAATATGAAGTTCAACGATGAGAAATTTCAATTACTCAGATATGGTAAACATGAGGAAATTAAATCTTCATCAGAGTACAAAACAAATTCTGGCCACAAATAGAGCGAAACACCAACGTCAAAGACTGGGAGTGATCATGTCGGAGGATCTCACCTTCAAGGACCATAACATTGTATCAATCGCATCTGCTAGAAAAATGACAGGATGGATAATGAGAACCTTCAAAACTAGGGAGGCCAAGCCCATGATGACACTCTTCAGGTCACTTGTTCTATCTAGGCTGGAATATTGCTGCACACTAACAGCACTTTCAAGGCAGGTGAAATTGCCGACCTAGAAAATGTACAGAGAACTTTCACGGCGCGCATAACGGAGATAAAACACCTCAATTATTGGGAGCGCTTGAGGTTCCTAAACCTGTATTCCTGGAACGCAGGAGGGAGAGATACATGATTATATACACCTGGAAAATCCTAGAGGGACTAGTACGAACTTGCACACGAAAATCCACCACTACGAAAGCAAAAAACTTGGCAGACGATGCACCATCCCCCAATGAAAAGCAGGGGTGTCACTAGCACGTTAAGAGACCATACAATAAGTGTCAGGGGCCCGAGACTGTTCAGCTGCCTCCCAGCACACATAAGGGGGATTACCAACAGACCCCTGGCAGTCTTCAAGCTGGCACTGGACAAGCACCTAAAGTCAGTTCCTGACCAGCCGGGCTGTGGCTCGTATGTTGGTTTGCGTGCAGCCAGCAGCAACAGCCTGGTTGATCAGGCTCTGATCCACCAGGAGGCCTGGTCTCAGACCGGGCCGCGGGGGCGTTGACCCCCGGAACTCTCTCCAGGTAAACTCCAGGTAAATCAAACAAAAAAAAAATTTTGTGATAATGATTCGGCTAATTGTTCAAAACAGTCTTTGTATAGAGGTAAAACTGATGAAAGACTTGGTGGATAAACAGAAGAATGGAAGAGGACTTGAACCACGGTCCATGGCATGTAGCAGGCCCAGTTCTATACCACTAGGAAGATTTTTACAGACAGTGCTTCTGTGAATTATCTATCAGTAGCACCAACTGTAAACTTACTTTGTAATGTTACTTTCCTTTGCAGCTTGGGTCCAGTTGTGCTGGCACTAGTGATAGCTTGACAGTTCAGCGACCATCTATAAGCCTTTCGGCTAGTAACTTCATGGACTGTGTGCTGCCTCGAACTAGAGAAAGTTCTTGTCATTCTAGTCAGCAGTCAGATATTACATCTGTGTTGACAGATCTACAGTTAGAGCAATACATTGGTAAGTCTTTTTGCCCAAATCACATTGTCATATTACAAAATAAAAATTCTTTTAAAATTGTATAAAGAGTAAGTTTTAGATAGGCCTCTTGGTAAAATATTTTAAGATTTAACACAAGTGTGCTGTAAAATTCTAGTTAATGGTAAATTGACTATCAGATCGAAGGGAGAGAGTTTGGAGGAAGTGGACATATCTAGATACCTGGGAGTGAATGTCATCAGATGGCTGTATAAAAAAAAACGAGGTGAGCTAGAGAATAGATAGGGAGGTTAGGTAGGTGGTATATTGAAGCATCGGTGTAAAGAAAGAAGTTTACCTTTGGAAGTGGGAAAATTGGAATGTATCAGTGTTGTTACCAACACCTTTGTATTGGTGTCAGGCATGAATTTTAAATGCTACAGTCAGAATGCTATAGAGGCAGTGGAGATGGTCATGTTTAAAAGCAATGTGTGATATGAATATCGTGCAGAAAGTTTGGAGTGTACAAATTAAAAGGCGGTGTAGGGTCACCAAGGGTTATATTTGAGACGGCCGAAGAGCAGTTAAGTGGCTTGGGCATGTGGCAAGGATGAAGAGGTATAAATTTGGGGCAGCAGATAGGGGTAGGGGGTCATCCCAGGAATGGTTAGAGGGAGGGGGTAAAAGAGGCTAAAGTTTTAGGGGTTTCAGTATCCAGCAGGCTTGATTGTGTGTTCAGTAGGAGTGAATGGAGACAAGTGGTTTCAATGGATGAGCTATTGGAATGTGGGCAAGGTAATTTATAAAGTAATTGAGGGGAAATCATTTGGCTGGACTAGGCCTGTAAGTGGGAAAGGCATTCATTGCCTGCACTATGGAAGATGGGTGGGGATATTGCAGTCAGTGGGTAATTGAAATATGGTATCAACATACTTCTAGCAAGATAGCAGTTAAAATGATGGTGGATATTGGGTCAATATTAATAACGATGTTGACAGATGGGGAACTTTAGACATTTTTCAGGCAGAGTTCCATATTTTGGGGCATTTTGTTTACTTGGAGGTTTAGAACAGTTGAGTTGTAAACATGGGATGTCAAAGATTGAATTTGCTTACTTTTATTTTTTCAGACGTATTTGCAGTACAAGAAGTTGATTTAAATATGTTCCTGACACTTGATGACACAGACCTGAAAGAGCTTGGCATAAAGATATTTGGACACCGCAAGCGTATACTTATGGCCATTAAGGGTTAGTCATGAAGTATTCATTGTATATATTTATACATGTGATAGAGTGAATGATGGTGAAAGTTCACATTTTTTGGTTACCCTACCTCAGTGGGAAATGGCTGATTTGTTAAGAAAAAAATGAGTGATCTGTAATTTTAATTTTTAAGCAAAAGGTAACTGAAGTATTAGCCAAGAAAGACACTTTTAGTCCACATTTCTCAGTTATTACTTAAATAATTGTTTTGTTTTAACACATTGGCTGTCTCCCACCTAGGCAGGGTGACCTGAAAAAGAAACGAAAGTTTTTCTTTCTACATTTAGTAATTTATACAGGAGTTACTAGTCTCTTGCTCTCGGCATTTTAGTTACCTCTTACAACATGCATGGCTTATGGAAGAAGGATTCTTCAATGGAGATTCCATAAATAATGTAATATATTATATAATTGCTATACATAATACTGTATAATTGACATGCAGCAGGAATGTGAACATGTTAGATAGGAGTGAGTGGAGATGAATGGTTTTTGGGACTTGATGAGCTGTTGGAGTGTGAGCAGGCTAATATTTTGTGAAAGAATTTGGGGAAACTGAACTTGAGTCCTGGAAGTGGGAAGTACAATGTCTACACTTTAAAGGAGGGGTTTGAGATATTTGCTGTTTGGAGTGACATATAAACTATTGTATTTGTATGCCTCTGCAAAGACAGTGATTGTGTAAATGATGGTTTCTTTCTATTTTGGGCCACCCTGCCTCGGTGGGAGATGGCCAGCGTGTTAAAAAAAAATAATCACTAACATTTAAATAATGAGTATGTCCATTGCATTTAGAATGTTAAGAGTTGGCACATAAATAAGAGTGCACATGCTCAGTAGGAGTAGCATTCCACAGTGAAGTTTACTATTTTAAAATTTCAATAAAGTTCTCCTGTTGTCCTATTCCTGGTTCCTTGCTCTCATTCTCTGCTGTCAGGTGGTGACTGGAAAACATAAAGGCAAGCTTATCTAAGTTATTCAAGACTTTAAATCTCCTTGTTCCCTCAAGGGACTTCTCTTACTTGTACTCCTTCATATTGCCTTTTAAAAAGGTTCCATCTTGGGCACTGATCATAAACCTTATATTTCTTGTAATCTTGCCATCCATCTTTTCATGCTCATAGTAAAGCACGACTGTACTCACGAACCCACTTTATTACCACAAACCTCTCGTCTTCATATCTCCTTATACTGTAATTTATTTATTATACATTTTAACCAGTTTGCTTACATATATGCATTATTAAATGAAGCTAATTTCAGCAAAATAAATAATAGTTCAGATTGCTTTAATGTTCATTTTGTAGGAAGTTTTCTTTACATTAATAATGATTTTTACCTATTGAAATTTCTCCCTTGCCCTATCTTAATTTCTTGTTCTGTTATGTATAATACAAATCCTGTATTTTTAGCTTCCTTAATCCAATCATACTTTAAATGACATTAATTTTTGTATTAACTGCACACTGTTGAATATAATTAATATTTTTCTACAAGTACATGTACAAGGGAGCTTTCTGTATAGTATGTCATTGATATCAGCTAGGCCTGTATACCTTGTACATGTACCTGTAAAAACGAATATTATTATTAATGACATACTAAATTTTGTCCCCAGTATGCAACCCACACGAGTCGACTAACATCATTACCTATTTTCTGATACGTGAACATAGACAGCAAGTGTCTTAAGGAAACTCGTCCTAATGTTTCCACTCATACTGGGGATCAACCCCTGGACCTCAGTGTGTGAGCTGAGTGCACTAACAGTCAAACTACAGACACACTTTACATTTAATGTTACACGATTCACTTGTTCAGAACTTAAATGCCCCGTGGCCTGGTGGCAAAGCTCTCGCTTCACATGGTGAGGGTCAGGGTTCGATTCCTGGCAAAGGGGTGGAAACATTGGGCGTGTTTCCTTAAACTGGTTGTCTATGTTCACAATCAGTAATAATGGGCACCTGGGTGTTAGTTGACTGGTGTGCATCGTATCCTGGAACAAAACTGACTTAATTTGCCTGAAATGCTCTGCATAACAAGTAGCTTTCTATACAGTAGTATGTCATTGATGTCAGCTAGGCCTAAATACCTTGTACACCTGGAATATACCTGGACAGAGTTCCGGGGGTCAATGCCCCTGTGGCCCGGTCTGTGACCAGGCCTCATGGTGGATCAGGGCCTGATCAACCAGGCTGTTACTGCTGGCTGCACGTAATCCAATGTACGAACCACAGCCTGGCTGGTCAGGTACGTGTAATTGCAGAAATAGATATCATATTTTATTACTATTAATTACAGATGTCTTATGAAGTTAGTTGCTCACCACATAATTAAAAAACATTATTAATACCTAGTTTTTATGTATACTTTCAGATCTGGCAACTAAAAAGCCTTTCTTTGGGGGTATAAGTGGTGTGACTAGTGGCATGGACCATGCCTCTGCCATACGAGAGACAACGACGACATGGGAATAATGTACTGTAAGGAAGAGGTTATGACTAGGCACATAGAATAGTAACATTTTTGACTACTGTGGAATAGTTAGATATAATGGTGAGTTGACAAGCTGCAAGAGAAGTGGTTTGACCAGCCTTATAAACTTCAATCAATTTTCTTAAAAAATTACTTGACAAATTAATATACAGTAATTAATGGAAGTAGTTAATTAATATGTTTCTGATTATTTGATATTTAAAAAAATACAAAATGGATGATAAAACGTTCATAGTAATGGTATTTATATTTTAAAAGTCTATGGTACAGTTTCTAATTAAATAAATTCCTGACTATAGCAATTAAATTTACGTCTCTGTTTTTATCTTGGGGAATTTTGTTCTCGAGTGCTGTAGTGGAAAATTATTGGTTTTCAAGAAGAAGAAAAAAAGTTATCCATTCAGGAGTTAGTGCTTAAGAATTTGACCTTTGTAATAATGTCACTATGTGGCATCTATTTGATCTGGTTCAACTGGTGATGCAGTGACATTGTCTGGTGAATAAAAAAAGGTTCAATAAGGTCACTTTAAGCATATAAAAAAAATGAACCTTGTAATGAAGTCATTCACCAGTGTGAGCTCTGTGTCTGACAACCCAGAAACATGGAGTAGTGGTCACCCGCAAGTGAAATGAAGATTTTTTTTCCACATATGTTAGATGAAACTGTTTGATTATATATTTTATCATTTCTTTTCACTGGGTGAGTAAAGCAAGCACCAAATCAGGGTTATGGGGTATTGCTCTGCTCTCACTATTTCCTTGTATCTGTTAAGCTTTTTGTATTTGTCTTGACATACTATAAAAGTCACTTGCTTTTTGCTGGAATTGTGGCTGTATTTCAGCAGCTTTTTTGACTGGTCTACATATGATACAGTATCCAACATAATTTAAACCTGAACTAACTATGACTGCAGTCTCACAATACTGTGTTGCACATGATGACTCAGACAGAATATGGAAGTACAAATATTACAGGGGGTTTTTCACAGTAAGTTAGTGCTGTTGAACAGACATAGTAGCATCATGATGCATAATTAAAATTATGCCATACCTAAAAAATTTTATTTGCTCTTTCACATTGAAATGTTGTGCCTTAAATGTATGATGAATGTACTATTACTGGCCTGACTAATTAATATTACTGGCCTAAATAGTGAATAATATTACTGACCTGAATGAGTATATTATTATGGGCTGAATGGCGAGTGCATTGTTACTGGCCTGGATGAGTGTATTATGACCTAAATGAGGAGTGCATTATTACTGGCCTGAATGTGTTGTAACTGGCCTGAGTAATTGTTGTTACTGGCCTTAATAGTGTATTACTGCATGAATGTATTATCAATGGCCATCTTCTCCGCTGTATGCCGTATATCTCATGCTGTCATTTCTGTTGCATTTTATGTATTCTATTTTTTTTTTATACAGGTATTGAAAGTATGTTAAGTTATTTCTTATACTGATGCCAGTTTTTGACCAGGTTGGTTATTATTTAAATTTGCATGATAAGTTCTTTGGAGTCAAAATGAGGTTTAAGCAGAATACTTGTTTTACGATTGAGTGGACACTAAATGACCAAGAAAATTGGAAAGTGTCTATTCAGCAAGTAAAAATTCTTTCTTTGTTGTTTAATTTTAAAGAAATACTATATTTAACATTTTCTTTAATTCACTGCTTATGCCAACATGTTTTGATCAGGACAGAATTCTGGTTCTGCCATGGATCGTGTGGCCCCATGATGTAATTTTGTTTTACAATTTTAAGGTCATTCCATAGATGTAGAGCAAGTGCCTTAATGCAGTGTTCATGTGGAATGTAATTGTGATATTAACTATAAGTAATATTTTACAATTAAGGGTGTTTACCCAAGGTTAGTTAATTATTTTTATACCATCATTGCTGTAAATAAATATGTAGCAGTTTATAGAAAAGTATGTAACTATATGCATGTAATTTTCATTTTCTAGTCTATATTCTATTGAGATAGAGAAAATAGATCATTCCTGTATTGGGATTTTAATTTTTTTTTATTATTTTAATGCATTGGGAGTTTTAGTTAGTGTGGGATTTTATAGGGGTGATCCTTTTTCTCTACATAATATAAGTTATGTTCCTAATATCAAAATAACCAAACTAAGTCTTTAGTATGCTCTTATTTTAATAAAATTTATGAAGATGATAGTTTCTAAAGAATTCTGCATTTTCAATTTATTTACTTTGTTTAGTTTGAATAAAGATTATCTAAATTTATTTAAATTTTTCATATCCCTTTCATCAGTTTTTTTTGTCACGTGCTATAACAAGAACACTGAACTAAGTACAGTACACCATAAAATCTTTGTGGGAGAGCACCAGCAGTCTTTAATTTCTTAAGTTTGTATTAAGAGGAAGTTTCTCTTAGAGAAGTAACTTAGAGTTGGGTGCCTTGATTGATCTTGTGGAAAATAGCATAATTAATATACAAAAGTTTTAATTACACAAAAAAGTATCAAATGCCTTGCTTAATTAGGACTTTTTGTAGAGTAATTTATATGTCAATTACCCTAATTCTATAATATACTCTGACCCTTATAGGTTTAGTGCTTATAAGAATAAGTTTATTTTGACATGATATATGGTTGTACAGAGGAAAATAGTTGGGTGTACATGCCAAAAGCCCCTTAGTATGCGGAGCATTTCGGGCAAACTTAAAAATTAACATAAGATTACGAAGGCAATAATAGTTCATTTGGTCATTAGTTAAGTTACAGTGAGTACAGGAGAATTTAATATTCTATTAGGTAATGCTACATCAATCAAAGTTTATTCTCTATAAAAATGTGGCTTTGATCAGTCTAGTAAAGAATAATTACACTACTGAATTAGTTTATGAAGATTACAGTATTACAATAGAACAATTTAAAACTATTTACAATATGATGTATTACAATTTAGTACTACATATTTAAAACAATGAAATTTAGACATCCTAATTTTGAAGTAGTGGGTAAGTGGTTGAGCAATCCTCAGCACAATATGAGTAGCTTTGAGTAACTGATTGGTAATAGGTATGGTTTGTCTGGTTAATTTTGGGTGATGAGGTGACTTCCTAGCAGGACCTTAAACTGATTTGCTTGGTTATGATTGTAACAATAAAATATACTCCACTTTCTATAAAGTTTGTTTTCCTGATGAAAGATCTAAGAAACAAGATACTAATAGAAGCTAAGCCAAGAAATCAACCTTGCATTGCTAGAAGTGAAGGATTGAACTTATTACAGAAGTAAATGAATGAGTAACCAAATGGATATACTGTACTTTGAACTATGAGCTAGGATTGTTTGAGGGTGGGGGCATGCCACACCCTTACTTGATCTTCCTTGATGATGGCCTTCACCTTTGACATGCTCCCTCTTAACTATTTTTCAGCATTTTTTTTTTTTTATTAACACACTGGCCGATTCCCACCAAGGCAGGCTGGCCCGAAAAAGAAAAACTTTCACCATCATTCACTCCATCACTTGTCTTGCCAGAAGGGTGCTTTACACTACAGCTTTTAAACTGCAACATTAACACCCCTCCTTTTTCAGCGATAGCTTTATTTATTCCTAGGTATGTTTCCGGACAGCGTCGTACGAGGGCATTTACTATCTTCGGCTAGTATTTTTACTGCTGAATTGTATGGCATCCTTGCAGCACTTATCCGTATTGCATCTATGCCTGTGTCATCATTTGTGGTTGTCTCAGACTCCCTTAGTGCTTTACAGGCTATACAGAAATTTGATACACCTCACCCCTTAGTCCTCCGTATCCAACTTTGGCTACGCCGCATCTTTACCAAGCATAAAGATATTGTTTTTTGTTGGGTCCCTGGTCATGTTGACGTACAGGGCAATGAACAGGCAGACACTGCTGTGCGGTCAGCAGTACATGACCTACCAGTTTTATATAGAGGTATTCCATTTACAGACTATTTTGCTGCAATATCTTCCCACCTTCACACCTGTTGGCAACAACATTGGTCTACTATGCTCGGCAACAAACTTCAGTCTATTAAACCGAGTATAGGTTACTGGCCGTCTTCTTATCACCAGTGTCGAGGTTGGGAGACTACTCTCTCCCGTCTTCGCATTGGCCATACTCGTCTTACTCGTGGATATCTCATGGAGAGGCGCCCTGCTCCTTTCTGTGAGAATTGCCAAGCTTCATTATCAGTCAGCCACATTCTGTTGGACTGCCCACTTTATCAACGAGCACGCAGAATTTACCTCCGTCGTCGTCTTCGCTCCGCTGCTCTCTCTTTACCTTCCCTTCTCGCTGATGGACCCACCTTTCATCCGGACACTCTCATTGACTTTTTGACAACAACTGACTGACTTCACAAATTCTGATACCTTCAGCCCTTTCTACTTCAATCTCTTGCTACCTTCTACCCCCGTACTATCCCCTGCCCCGCTGTTTTTTGTAACCTACTGATCATCCCTCCTCCCTTCTGCCATCCAATACCCTCGCTTCCTTCCCTACCCTGCAGTGCTATATAGCCCTTGTGGCTTAGCGCTTCTTTTTGATTATAATATTCCTAGGTAGTGGGCTGGTAGACAGCAACTGCCCAGGGAGGCACTACCGTCCTGCCTGTAATTGTTGTACATGATGGTAAGATTGCTGGTGTCTTTTTTTCCATCTCATAAACATGCAATATTTCAGGTACGTATTGCTACTTCCACTTACATTTAGGTCACACTACACATGCATGTACAAACGTACATATACGTGCCTCTCTGGGTTTTCTTCTATTTTCTTACTAGTTCTTGTTAATTTCTTTGTGGTACATAATGTAGTTAACATGTAATAAGACATTGGTAGGCACAAAAGACAGCCAATAATGTGATGCATTTTGAGCGCACATGAAGGTACAGCACATTCTTCAATGGAAACTTTAATGGAGATTTACAGCTCTTGGTTGAAGAATTTGTATCCATCTTCCCAGTGGATTTATTTATTTATTTATTTATTTATTAATTAATTTGAACATACAGAGGTACAAAAAAATACAGGTAAGAGCAGCATGCCAAAGCCACTTGTATGCATAGCATTACGGGCAAGCTTAAAATTAACTAAGCAATGATGTCATCAGTGATAAAACATTTTTGTATATAGATTGCCTTCCATTCTTGAGGTACTGCATGATCATTATAGATCTATGCCTTTCCCACTGAGTAATAATACAATATTATACAATACCCTGTTAACTGCATAATCTGGGCAGAGAAACTGCAAATGTGCGTATATCTTATATTAATTATTTACTATTAAGACCCTCTGTAAGAAACAACTCAGCTCGTTGTTGAAAATTTCTGTTCATGATCTAATTTTATTCATGGGTTAGTGTTAGTCATGGAAGGCTTGAGCCTAGAGGAACATTGGTAGTCAGACAGATTTAGATTAGATTTTGCCACCGAAGTGGCTAGTTTATTGTGCACCCCATATCCATCCTGTGGACGGTAGCGCGAGAGCATATGGATACACAAAAGGCCTAGGAACTAGGCCCCAAAGGGTTAACAGGAATACATATGGATTTATATCTACATATCTATAGTTCACTTATCTGTTACAAGCAAATTTAGGAAATTTGCTTAGTATATCTGGTATCTTATTTTCATTAATAAGATATCTTGACATGTCACATAGGTTATTATACTGTCTGTCTCTGTATTTCCTCAATAAGTGGACAATTAAGCACATAGTGTTCAAGAGAGTGACCATATGCCAGAGTCAGGCAGACTGGCAAGGTTTAGATGCCTGGGTCCTTGGCTGCTGCAGCGACCCATCTGGCAGACCTACGCTCGCCGGCATCCATCCACCACACCCACCTATCCTTATATCCACCTGCATCCATCCACCACACCCACCTATCCTATATCCACCTGCATCCATCCACCACACCCACCTATCCTTATATCCACCTGCATCCATCCACCACACCCACCTATCCTTATATCCACCTGCATCCATCCACCACACCCACCTATCCTTATATCCACCTGCATCCATTCCACCACACCCACCTATCCTTATATCCACCTGCATCCATCCACCCACACCCACCTATCCTTATATCCACCTGCATCCATCCACCACACCCCACCTATCCTTATATCCACCTGCATCCATCCACCACACCCACCTATCCTTATATCCACCTGCATCCATCCACCACACCCACCTATCCTTATATCCACCTGCATCCATCCACCACACCCACCTATCCTTATATCCACATGCATCCATCCACCACACCCACCTATCCTTATATCCACCTGCATCCATCCACCACACCCACCTATCCTTATATCCACCTGCATCCATCCACCACACCACCTATCTATCCTGCATCCATCCACCACCACCTAACTATCCTTGCTATCCACTTACATCCATCCACACCACTTTTTTTGTGATTGAAATTTCATCAGACAATCTCAATTTATGTGTGCTTAACTAGGTCTGTCCCGACTTGCTATCTTAATACACAATCATCTATATATTAAAAATATAATCTGCGTCTTAGCGTTACGAAACGAACAATCTTTCCGAAATAACAAGTCATGTATCCTCTTCCCAGAGGTGGCCCCCACCTTGCTCTCCGCCAATCACAGAGCTCCGTGACGTCACAAGGCTATCTTTCATTTCAGATGCCATCGCTTCTGGGACTACCCCCTAAATTTAGCCAATCAGAGACCTCTGAGTGCCATGACGTCACGGGTAGCTCGTGTGGTGGATTTTAATCAATATATTTTAAATCAGTTGTCTGTTGGCCAGTGTGGTGAGTGTTGGCTACTGCTACCTCTATGTGTCCAGCAGGTTATCCTAGGTAATTTACACCGTGTATGATAATTGTACTTATCTGTACCTGTGTCTAAACTAATACTCAACACGTTATTAAAATTAACGATTTGTGTGTATCTAATGGAAATAAGTCAGTTTTTTTGGGTTTTCCTGGTGGGTAATTTATACATATGTGACTTATGTATGATAATTTGTACAACTATATTTGTGTATTTGTACCTAGATAAACGTACTTATCCACGGACCCCCATGGAAATTAATCTTAATAACCTAATTTGATTATTATAATAATAATCATCTATGTTAAATGCACATAACGGGACTTTTTATAAACCTATTAATGTGACCTCAACATCAATGTAAAAATATTTTTTATGTATACATATGTAAATAAAAACTTCCATTTCTTGTTAGAAATAATTTCACCACGTGTTGTGAATATTTGTGCTCACTTATGTGTGCTTGCATGGGTCGAGTCACAGCTCCTGGCTCTACCTCTCCGCTGGCTGCTACTGGCTTTAATTTTCTTGTAAAGATTTTCTTCGAATTTCTGACCTTGAAGATTAACCCAAGAATTGACTTTTCATGGGACTATACCTGTGTGTCCACACTGGCTGACACCTATATCCATCACAGTGTGGGGCGACAGGGAGGAGCTCCTGACCACAGGGAGGAGTACAAGATCAGCAAGTACAGGGACATTAGCCAACAGTATCAGTTTATCCCAGTGGGATCAGAAACCTTGGGATCATGGGGAAAAAATGCCACACGTTTCCTTAAAGAATTGGGTTCCAGACTCATCGACACCACCAGGGACCCAAGGGCAGCCACTTTCATGTTCCAGCACCTCAACGTGGCCATCCAGAGGGGAAATGCTTGTTGCATACTGGGCTCGCGTCCGGCTTCGGAGGAGCTGGAGGAAATTCGTGATCTTTAACACATTGTACCATTGTATTCATTTGTGTTTTATGTAAATGTATTCTTTCTATTAATAAATTTTCCCATAGAAAATAAAATATAGGGGGTGGTAGGAGAAGAAAATATTCAAACAGTTCCGGGGAGAACCTTGAGTTTTCCCTGACGTACGTTTATTGTCTTCTCTGAGGATGAGGGTCCCCAGTCCAGCTATAGAGGTGGTACCTCCCTGTATACATACACACACACACACACACACACACACACACACACACACACACATATATATATATATATATATATATATATATATATTATATATATATATATATATATATATATGTAAGGCTAAGAGCTGGTATCCTACTTTAGCTTATTTCAGAGCCCTATCTTAGGTATATTACTACTCCCCCAGGATGCGACCCAAAACATTCAACTAATACCAGGTACTTGCTTACTGTTAGGTGAACAGGGAACAGGAGTGCCGGTTACTACACTAGTATCTAACTACTGTAGTGCAGTGACTAACTCAGGACTACTTACTACTAAGTTAAGGAGACATGAGTAACGTGTAACAGTGCTGGGATCAAAGAAGTGTGGTGACTAGGATCAATTCATTAATATGCGAAGCTAGTCCATGGTGGTCAGGTTCTGATCAACCAGGTTTTAAACGCTGGCCGCACGCAAACTGAGCGTCACGAACCAACAGCCCGGTTGTAGGTTTAACTGATAAGTGTCCTGTCCAGCAACCTTCTTATAAGACAGTCGGGGTACTATGCTTATGGTTACGGGGGCAGTTCAACCGACTTGGGTTGACACTTAGTGTGTGGTCTCTCAGGCTTGCCATGAGAATAGTGAGACATTGAGACTCTCTGACCGGGTTCAAATCCCGCCCGTGGTTATGGTTGGTTGCAATGTGTCCATCCCGATTTCAGTGAGTCAAATTTATTCTGCTGTGCTCTCACTCCTCAGGTACCATATAAGACATTTCTGGTTTCGCAAAAGTAGATGAGTGACCGCACTGCCAAGCAGCATCAATGGTGTAAATATTAAGGGAGTAGTGGTTGTAAAAATAGATGAGGGAGTAGGAATGGTTGGGTGTGAGCAGGAGGCGCACTAGGATTGCCTACCATGAGGTTAACAGGTGGAGTACTAGGACTTGCTTACCATGAGGTTAACAGGTGGAGTACTAGGACTTGCTTACCATGAAGTTAACAGGTGGAGTACTAGGACTTGCTTACCATGAGGTTAACAGGTGGAGTACTAGGACTTGCCTACCATGAGGTTAACAGGTGGAGTACTAGGACCTGCCTACCATGACGTTAACAGGTTGAGTACTAGGACTTGCTTACCATGAGGTTAACAGGTGGAGTACTAGGACTCCCTTACCATGAGGTTAACAGGTGGAGTACTAGGACTTGCCCACCATGAGGTTAACAGGTTGAGTACTAGGACTTGCTTACCATGAGGTTAACAGGTGGAGTACTAGGACTTGCCTACCATGACGTTAACAGGTGGAGTACTAGGACCTGCCTACCATGACGTTAACAGGTGGAGTACTAGGACCTGCCTACCATGACGTTAACAGGTGGAGTACTAGGACCTGCCTACCATGACGTTAACAGGTGGAGTACTAGGACCTGCCTACCATGAGGTTAACAGGTGGAGTACTAGGACCTGCCTACCATGAGGTTAACAGGTGGAGTACTAGGACTTGCTTACCATGAGGTTAACAGGTGGAGTACTAGGACTTGCTTACCATGAGGTTAACAGGTGGAGTACTAGGACTTGCTTACCATGAGGTTAACAGGTGGAGTACTAGGACCTGCCTACCATGACGTTAACAGGTGGAGTACTAGGACCTGCCTACCATGAGGTTAACAGGTGGAGTACTAGGACCTGCCTACCATGAGGTTAACAGGTGGAGTACTAGGACCTGCCTACCATGACGTTAACAGGTGGAGTACTAGGACCTGCCTACCATGAGGTTAACAGGTGGAGTACTAGGACCTGCCTACCATAAGGTTAACAGGTGGAGTACTAGGACCTGCCTACCATGAGGTTAACAGGTGGAGTACTAGGACCTGCCTACCATGAGGTTAACAGGTGGAGTACTAGGACCTGCCTACCATGACGTTAACAGGTGGAGTACTATGACCTGCCTACCATGAGGTTAATAGGTGGAGTACTAGGACCTGCCTACCATGAGGTTAACAGGTGGAGTACTAGGACCTGCCTACCATGACGTTAACAGGTGGAGTACTAGGACCTGCCTACCATGAGGTTAACAGGTGGAGTACTAGGACCTGCCTACCATGAGGTTAACAGGTGGAGTACTAGGACCTGCCTACCATGAGGTTAACAGGTGGAGTACTAGGACCTGCCTACCATGAGGGTAACAGGTGGAGTACTAGGACCTGCCTACCATGAGGTTAACAGGTGGAGTACTAGGACCTGCCTACCATGAGGTTAACAGGTGGAGTACTAGGACCTGCCTACCATGAGGTTAACAGGTGAAGTACTAGGACCTGCCTACCATGAGGTTAACAGGTGGAGTACTAGGACCTGCCTACCATGAGGTTAACAGGTGGAGTACTAGGACCTGCCTACCATGCGGTTAACAGGTGGAGTACTAGGACCTGCCTACCATGACGTTAACAGGTGGAGTGCTAGGACCTGCCTACCATGAGGTTAACAGGTGGAGTACTAGGACCTGCCTACCATGAGGTTAACAGGTGGAGTACTAGGACCTGCCTACCATGAGGTTAACAGGGACTGTTTTGTTCACCTGGGCAATATGAGACAATATTTGTGCTAAGCAACGCCAAATTTGGGCAAACCTAAATTTTACAAGATAGGGGAAGGGATGAGGAGGGAAACTGATGGGGAGAGGAGAGGATGGGGATGGAGAAGTCACATGTTGCCATGAGAGGAAGAGAGTGAGAGTTGTTGATGGTGTCGGAGAGACGAGTCACTGGGTCCATGACGCCTCTTCAAAGCTCTCCAAATATCTCTCTTCAATACGAAGGGCTGACAGTGCTTAAAAATAACTTGTACGTATTTAGAAGTTTATTATTTCGCCTATCTGTATAACTTTATTATAATTTTTAAAGGGTGGGCCGGTATTTTTTGTATTAAAATTAGGTACAATCCCCACTGGAAATAAGTCAGACTTGTTTTTTTAGGATTATCCTAGGTAATTGTTACACAGTGTATGATAATTGTACTTATGTGTACCTGTGCCTGGTGGCTAAAGCTCCCGCTTCACACACGGAGGGCCCGGGTTCGATTCCCGGCGGGTAGAAACATTTCGACACGTTTCCTTACACCTGTTGTCCTGTTCACCTAGCAGCAAATAGGTACCTGGGTGTTAGTCGACTGGTGTGGGTCGCATCCTGGGGGACAAGATTAAGGACCCCAATGGAAATAAGTTAGACAGTCCTCGATGACGCACTGACTTTCTTGGGTTATCCTGGGTGGCTAACCCTCCGGGGTTAAAAATCCGAACGAAATCTTATCTTATCTTACACGATTTTTTTTTTTTTTTTTTTAGTATTTCTTCACTTGCGATAAGCTGGCTGTTATAATGCATGAAACAGGATGGGTTTTCCCGTCATACTTCATTACACACAAATATTGGTTTTCTTGCAGACTCCAACATACTGGATGGTTTTCCTGTCATTAGTTACTCCATCACAAAGTATGACTTCCATGTCATACATGGAGGGGGTGTCGGGGGTCAACGTCCCCGAGGCCTGGTCCGTGACCAGGCTTCGTGGTGGCTCAGAGCCTGATCAACCAGGCTATTACTGCTGGCCGCAGGTAAACCGACGTACGAGCCACAACCCGGCACATAAGATAAGCTAAGATTTCGTTCGGATTTTTAACCCCGGAGGGTTAGCCACCCAGGATAACCCAAGAAAGTCATCGAGGACTGTGTCTTATTTCCTTCCATTGGGGTCCTTAATCTTGTCCCCCAGGATGCGACCCACACCAGTCGACTAACACCCAGGTACCTATTTACTGCTAGGTGAACAGGACAACAGGTGTAAGGAAACGTGTCGAAATGTTTCCACCCGCCGGGAATCGAACCCGGAGCCCTCCGTGTGTGAAGCGGGAGCTTAAGCCACCAGGCCACCGGGCCACCGGTGGCTAACTGTAGGTGCCTGTCCGGTTCCTTGAAGATAGCCAGGGGTCTATTGGTAATCCCCCTTATGTATGCTGGGAGGCAGTTAAACAGTCTTGGGGCCCTGACACTTATTGTGTTCTCTCTTAGTGTGCTCGTGGCGTCCCTACTTTTCATTGGAAGGATGCTGCATCTATTGCCAAATCTTTTGCTTTCGTAGGGAGTGATTTTCGTGTGCAGATTTGGGACTAGTCCCTCTAGGATTTTCCACTTGTATATTATCATGTATCTTTCTCGCCTGCGAGATACATTATAATATACAACACACAAGATAGTTTTTCCATCATAGAGGTTGAGTTTCCTCTCGTATTTCAGCAAACAGGAATTGTTTTCGTCATAATTCATGACACGTTGAGTGGGTTTCACAAGAGGTAAGCCAGTGGCTGACCTTGGCCACATTATGCAACCAAATCTCCTCTGAACGGGTCAGGTATAACTTACATCCGCGTCTGGAATCTTCCTTTCAGTTATAAACGTCCTGATCTTTATCAGTCCACTACTTCTAAAACCTTTAAAAATATATGAAGCGAAGTCGATTTTTTTTTGTTGCTGGGCTCACCTGATCAAATAAGTTTTACCAGTGCATTAGAACTTTCCACGAAACTAATAGTTACCGTTATAAAGGTCAAGCCGATCAAGTGGTAAATGGACCTTCCACAGCTCCTACATGATACGGAAATGGTCATGTGTTTCTTAGGGGTATGGAGAAACTATGACATTTCATGATGTAATTTTTTATGCTCGTCTCAAGATATGGACAGATAAGCCGGCGGAAGGTCTCGCATTGCCCAAGGCTCTGCATGACCCTTATGGCTGTCGCACTCCTGACTTGAAATAAACAAAATAAAAAAAGCGAAAGAAAATGCGTGAGAAACTGCAATATGGTGGACACAACTGATTGAGTCACATGACTGCAAACTCTCAGTGAGCGGGTGAACTCGAATTCCTTGGATCAAGAGCCTTTTATCAGCGTCATGATATAACTAGGTGTGATGAGAACCCATCTAGCATGTGCCATCAATCTACTGCAATGTTCGTATAATCTTGCTAAAATATATGTGATTGCAGACAATATTGTTAGTTACTGAACGAAGGGTAAAAATAGATAAAACAGACCACCTGTATGTGGTTGAAGGGATCACGTCACAGCTCCTGGCCCTGCCTCTTTGCTGGTCGCTATTAGGTCGACACTCACTCCTTGCTCCATGAGCTTTACGGTACCTCTTCTTAAAGCTATGTATGGATCCTGCCTCCACTACATCACTCTCCAGATTGTTCCACTTTCTGACAACTCCATGGCTGAAGAAATACTTCCCAACATCCTTGTGACTCATCTGAGTTTTCAACTTCCAGTTGTGACCTCTTGTTGCTGTGTCACATCTCCGAATCTTCGTGTCCCAATCTACCTTGTCAGCCCTCGCAGGCGGGAGAGATACATGATTATATACACTTGAAAAGTACTAGATGGATTAGTACCAAATTTGCACACGAAAATCACTCCCTGTGAAAGTAAAAGACTCGGCAGGCGATGCAACATCCCCCCAATTGACATCAGGAGTGCCACTAGCATGATCAGTGACAACACAGTGTCAGGGGCCCAAGACTGTTCAGCTGTCTCCCAGCATACATGAAGGGGATTACCAACATACCCCTGGCTGTCTTTAAGAAGGCTTTGGACAGACACCTAGTCAGTACCTGATCAGCCGGTTTACCTGCGGCCAACAGTAACAGCCTGGTTGATCAGGTCCTGATCCACTATGAGGCCTGGAAACAGACCGGACCGCGGGGGTGTTGACCCCCGAAACCCTCTCCAGGTATATTATCATGGCCCTGCTATCCTCCAGTGTTATAATCATGGGGGGCGCTAAACCCGTAGGGATTATACAACGTCTGTGGGGGGAGGGATGGAAGGTATTCAGGGTCAGTCCAGGGAACTGGAGCACAGAACCAATTCCCTAGATCAAGAGCCCCTCACCAGCGTCAAGAAACCTCTCTTGAGGGGTCCTCCAGTGGGACATACCCCTTAGCTCCGGGACTAGTCTTGTTGCAAACCTTTGCACTTTCTCTAATTTCTTGTGACGTGCTTGACCAAGTGTGGGTTCTGCACTGTGTGTGTGTGCTCACCTAATTGTGGTTGTAGGGGTCGAGACTCAGCTCCTGGCCCCCGCCTCTTCGCTGATGTGTGCGTGTATGTGTGTGCATTATACTGCCATCATATGAAACTGAAGATGTGTATTTCCTTGTAAATCTTAGAATGTGTGGTTTACATGTTATAAAATATTAATTACAAAGACGGCCACTAGCATGCCTAGGCATTTCCGGCAGATTAATACAAATTCTTACTCTATATTGATATAAGTTATGGAGCAGTACATTTGAATGTACATTATTAGATACATAATAATTAGATACGTAGTCTTCCAACTTGTCAAATGTTACTTGTAATACGTTTTAGAAATAAATCAGGTGGAATAAAAAGTGTGTGCACCTGCTGAGCTGAGTATATTTTATAAACCAGGTGCACCAAGGATGCCAACTAATAATGGAGTAGAACGTGAAGACAACAGGACTAGTCTGGCTCACTCTAGAATGGAATAGACTGTTATAAAATAGCAAAGTAGGTCGTCTGTAGCTTGGCCTCGTCTCCTGTCACCCCTGGTGTGACGGGGCAGTCACAAGACATAACCTTGCTGGTGGAAGGTGGGAAAACCTGGCATCTGGCACTATGATGTCCCACGCCTCCTCCTTGGATGAGATCAGTGCCAGCTATGACGTCAAAACTTGTGGACCCGGCCTCAGTCCCCAAGGTAAGGCCTTCATCACTCATTTAACAGGCACGTAAGTACTCCTGTCTTCTAATAACATGTTCATTTTTCCCCTTGTCCATAATTACTATCGCATTACAAAGTAAATGCGATAGTAATTATGGGCAAGGTCTATTATAGTGGAAAAATGAGCGTTTTATTAGAAGACAGAAGTACTTACGTACCTATTAAGATTATTATTATTATTATTATTATTATTATTATTATTATTATTATTATTATTATTATTATTATTTTATTATTATTATTATTATTATTATTATTATTATTATATTATTATTATTACTTTACTTTTATTATTACAAGCATGGGGAGCGATAAACTTGTAAGGGTCATACATTGCCTATAGGAATAGGAGGTATTAAAAGTTAAAATAAAGATTTTATTTATTTGCAAAGGTTACAATTACAAATCAAGTCACTATCATGCCGGGGAATTTCTGGCGGATTAATCCTAATTCTTAAAAACTACTTAAATCTAGACAAGATAAGAGTGGTTATCTTTTCAATAAATCATTATGTTAATAATAATGAAAGGTGGTCAAAGATGGGGGGGGGTGTATAATAATATAATAATAATCTTGTGGTTACACGTAACAAATAACAGTATTACAAATAATGATCAAAACAGTTACTATTTTATGGATTAGCAGGTGTTTTAATAGATTAAAGGTTATATAATATTTGGGAGAGTTGCTTCAAACTGATTAAAGTTCAGGTTGAGTCAAGGACCAGGAACACAGATCCAAGTCCCTAAATCAAGAGCCTCTCATAGGCATCAAGGAACCTCCCTTAAAGTATTATTTTTTCATATTAAATCCTAGCAAAAGGAAATAACTACAGCACTAATAAGCGAAACAATGTAGATCATAGCCAAAATGAGCGATAAACAAAAAGATTTAACAGGAATTTAAAGCCAAGGTAAAAGTGTTTGCCATAAAGCTAACAGAATTCTTGGCTTCATATCAAGAAGTATAAATAACTGAAGTCCCAAGGTCATACGTCAACTTTATATATCTTTAGTTAAACATCATTTATATTATGCTACTCAGTTCTGGTCTCCATATTACAGAGAATGATGATGAAGTTGATTCCATGTACTAGAAGCCTTTCATATTATAATAGGCTGAAGGCCTATTGTCACAGGCCTGCAGATAGGGAAGATATGACTAAGAATACAAAGCGAAAACGGGAATAAATATAGGGGGAAATAAATAGCATATTGAAATTATCTAATCAAGACAGGGCTCACAGTAATGGATTAAAGTTTGAGAAATTTATATTTATTAAAGGATGGCGGGAAGTGAGACACTTCCGCAATATTTGGGTATCTTATCCAGAATCAAGATACCCAGATGTTGCACAAGTGTCTCGTTTATTAACATGGTGGGAAGTACTGGTTTAACAGTAGAGTTGTAGAAGAGTGGAACAAACTCCCAAGCAGTATCACTGAGGCAACAACTTTGGGTAGTTTTAAATATAGGTTTGATGGGTACATGAGTGAGTGTGAGTTAAACTTGCCTAGCATGGGCCAATAGATATGAAAATAATATACAATACGGACAGGTTGATAAGTAGGGCACATTTGCAGCAGTTAAATATCTTTATTCCAAAATGTTTCACTTAAACAGTATGCTACTTCAGTCCAGTACATACCTGGCATTTGTTATGATTAGTGTAGTCAAATTGTATGTTAAATTTATCACGTTTTTTTTATGATTTTGTTACACAAATCTCTTCATACATCAGATTCAGTTATGTTTTATTGAAACCACTAATTCTTTTACTCATCAGTTTCATTTTTAAAATAAGGGAATATGCTACATATTTCTAGAGTAAGAAAATAATTAGTTGCACGATGATATTCTTTTTAAAAAAGTAATGAAGAGTTGTGTAAGAAAACTTTTTTATTATGTCAGTTTTTATTTGGTGTAATTTCTTAGGCTAGAGAAGATAAGAAATTACATTTTTGGTTTAGCAGTACCTCTCCTACTTCACTATACACATTATATACTTGTACATATATTGAGAATTTAATTCCTGTTTTAGGAATTAAAGTATTTGTGACAAGTGGTGAACAGAGTACAGACAGCCTTAATGACCCATGTGTTTTAAGCTCAACAAACTACTTAGTTCCAAGTACTCTTGCAGATTCTGTATGGGCACAAAGAATCAATAGAGTCGCTGGTGGACTTCGAGTGGACCCAGGAGTCCAGAGTACTTGTACTGTACACGGGAGGAACCATAGGCATGGTCCGTAACGAGAGGGGAAGTAAGTACACGCAGAATTCAAAAATAGGTGTGAGGATGACCTCTGTATAAACTGGATGACGCCCATTACCCAAATATGACTCCTTTAGGTTTGGTGCTCCCCCTATACTACATATCATAAGCCCAGCCCCCTCTACCTCAGTGATGCAAGAATGTCCGTATAGTCCTTGCGGGACTATATGGACAAATGTTGAACGTAACACTTGTCTGTTCTCATCAGGACAGAATCTGAACATTACTATCATGTTTCATCTAGACAGAAGCTGAATAAGACAATCATCTCTCATTATAGAGCTGGTGCCCATCCCTCAGGAGCTGGAGCTTAATATCCGACGCTTCCCTCACATGCATGACGAGATCTACTCAGCCAAGCGCTTCAACAGCTTCAGCAACCCTCCTCTCGTCCTTCCGTATGTCTACCTCTCAGATGCTACTCTTTCTGTCTCTTGCATCCTACTTCATTTTCCTTTGCTTGTACAATTTTTATAGTATTTTTATTGTGTTATCTCTTTTTTATGATCCAGAGAGTTTCTTGTCTATTAACCATTGCTTACATGACTCCACTTAGGATGGTAACATGTTAGCATCCTCTGTATTTTTATTTGATACTGTTCTCTGCATAAAATGTTTACATTTAACATTAATGAGCTTATCATTTTGAAAATGCAAGGGTGATGATGGCATGTCAATTATACTGTATGTATGTACTGTACTGTATTACCTGTTCATGTAATTGCATAGTATGTACAACTTTCACATGTTTAATCATTTGTCATTTTGGCCTTGTGATAAATTTTCTTTTTCACTAATGAAATGATCATTTCTATGAAACATTTAGCATTATAATTGTAACATAGGTTATCTGGTCTTTGAGCAAGATATCATTATCTTTTCAATACCTTTGTCATGTTAAGTTTTAGGAACTGTATTGTAGTTTTGTCAGTCACTCACTGGTAAAATGTAAAGGTATAATGATGATGATGTCATTCTGCCCCTGCCTGATAAATATTCATGTACAGAGACTGTAAGGACAAGTGTCGAGTGGTTTATTGGGTTTACGAGTATGATCCCCTCCTTGACTCTTCCAATATGACGATGGATGACTGGATTCGCATTGCTAAGGATATTCGGGTAAATGATGGCCTCTGTTTTCCCTTCTAGATGCAACAAAAGTGTATAAAAAGGAAAAGCTGTAATATATTTAATGTGAAGTACTGTATGGTTAATTTTACTATACCATTTTGAAATGTTAGTGCTCAGCCTTCATACTAAAAGCAACCTGTGCTTAAAACATTGCTCATGAACATAAATTTTTGCAGCTAACAGTTTTTTGTATGTTGTCACACTAAATCTGACCCACCTGATATCTATAACTGTATGCCATTTTAAATTTTACAGTGTCTCTTATTTATGGATGTTAATTTTTCAACTTATTCACAGGGTGTATATGAGATGTTTGATGGATTTGTGGTGTTGCACGGGACTGACACTTTGGCCTACACAGCTTCAGCTCTGTCCTTCATGCTTGAAAACTTGGGCAAGCCTGTTGTCATTACTGGTTCTCAGGTAATGTATGTTTAGTAGCTGTCACATTTTTTGAAGTACAGTTTTCTTAGTTGAAACATCTATAATTTACCTGTTAAAATTTGATATCTAGCACTTGTCTTACACACATGTTCCCTTTGAAGAAGACTTTAGATTAGTAACCCAAGGTAATCTAAAACAGTCAGGTAGTGTGGCTTATTTCTGCAATCTCGAGGAGTTAATTAATTACTTAACACAAGTAGTATCTGTTAACACCCCTCTGGGTTTTCTTCTATTTTCTTACTATTTTTTTTCAAGAAGTTGGCTGTCTTCCACCAAGGCAGGGTGACCCAAAAAGAAAGAAAATCCCCAAAAAGAAAATACTTTCATCATCATTCATCACTTTCACCTCACTCATACATAGTCACTGTTTTTGCAGAGGCACCCAGATACAACAATTTAGAAGCATATATAAAGATAGTATATAACACATCCCTCCAAACTGCCAATATCCCAGACCCCTCTAAAGTGCAGGCATTGTACTTCCCATTTCCAGTACTCAAGTCCGGCTATATAAAAATATAATCGGTTTCCTTTCGTTTGATACCCTCATCACCTTCCTCTTATCTATGTTCACTTTCAACTTTGTACCTTTACATACCCTCCCAGTACTATTTCTTGTTCTTGTTCATTTCCTCTTATCTCCATGGGAAAGTGGAACAGAATTCTTCCTCCGTAAACCATGCGTGTTGTAAGAGGTGACTAAAATACCGGGAGCAAGAAGCTAGTACACCCCTTCTGTATACGTGTACGTATATTACTAGTTTTAAAAAGAGAAACTTGTTTTTCTTTTTAAGTCACCCTGACTCGGTGGGATATGGCCGGTTTGTTGAAAGAAAAAGTATCTGTTAACTACTAGGTGAATAGGGGCAAGAGATTTAAGGAGAATTGCTGATATATTGGAAGCACTATATTGGGTCTGACTTCCACTAAATATTGGTTACTCTTGCTGAGGGCTAGGACACATATAAACTTTATTAGTTATTGGTGAAATTTAGCAGTCCTGATTTCCTACTTATTTGTTCTTTCTTGGAAGTACAGATGTATGTCAGTAATATAAGTATGTACATAAAATTCACTCATACTACTGTGTATACTACATATCAGGACAATAATATCAATAATATCTGATATCAATCCAGTCCTGAAACTCTTTCCTGACATGTAGTTGTAACAGAACTCGTAGACATTACACTAGACTACCCCCTCCCTCCAACCTTTTCGAGAACGACCCCTATTCTTATTCTTCATATATTATACTTGTGATCATAATTTTGTTTTAAGGCTGCCCAAAATGGTTTGTATACAGTATTAAGGGACTTTCTATAAAGCTGTTATATATGTCAATCAACCTAATTATATAATATACTGTATCCCAGTTTATAGAAATTATTTTTTTCTTTTGTTTATTCATCGTCATAATTTTTTACTGGTTGCTTAGGGAAACCTCATATTTATAGAAGACAAACCTTTGTGTGTTGTTTCACTGGATCTGAACACTGTACCACCATGTTACTCCAGCACATCCTGACCATTTGTGTAACCTGAAGTGGAAATTATGAGGGCACTAAAATGGTATATTTTCTTGGATGCTGATGTAATACAGTATCTTTTCAAATAACTGCATTTATTGAAAATGTACTGAAAATACTAGTGTGCTTCATCATCGATTAAAAATGAGTTGCTGCATTTTTGTGCCATTACCAAGTTTTTCTCCAATCTCTTCACATTTCTATAGTTTATTCAGCTACCTATCTAACACTTGCAAATACACTTCAGATCCCCATTTTTGAGACTCGAAGCGATGGAAGGGACAACTTCATTGGGGCAGTGATAATAGCGGGGAGGTATACAATCCCTGAAGTGACAGTATTCTTTAATAACAAGCTATACCGTGGGAACCGCACAACTAAAGTATCTACAGGCAGACTTCAAGCCTTCGACTCTCCAAACATGTCCCCACTGGCTACTGCTGGCATCTCCATCCAGGGTGAGTTATATAACCACACATTTTGAGGATGACTGGGAAGAGGGGTAAGGTGTATCCAAATGGCATACTGTGGGCAATACCTGGAGTATACCTGGAGAGGCTTTCTGGGATGAACGCCCCTGCAACCCCATCTGAGACCAGGCCTTGTGGTGGATCAAGGCCTAATCAACCAGGCTGTTACTGCTGGCTGCATGCAAACCAATATATGAACCACAGTCCGGCTGGTTAGGTACTGACTTGTAGTGCAAACTTTTTATCTAGATGCTTTGCTCTGTCTAGAGTTTTAACAAGTTGAAACTACAAAAAAATGAAATGTGGTCCAAATAAAAGCTTTTTCTGCTATGTCTCTCTTACAAAAAGATAGGACTGAAGAAAAAAACAGAAATAAGGTAGTGAAAAGCTATTCTGCTATGTATCTTACAGGCAGATAGGACTGAAGAGGAAGAGAAATAAGATAGTGAAAGCAATACAGTATTGTTTTCAGAGAAGGGGAGAGAGAGAGTGAGAACCTTTTGTTTTTGTTAAGTTGAGAACATGATTCCATATTCTTATGTATGACAACAATAATAATTTTCTTGGAGTAAATGAGAGACTAATTATCATTATCCGAGCAAAATGTTTTTCACAATCAGTTTTTTTTTTTTTAGTCGTTTTGAATTGTGCATTCTGTCTTTGAGGTCCCATGTATGAAACTTAAACTTTAGGTATTAGTTGAGAATTTAGTAAGAGTTAGAAAACAGATTAAGAAATCTGATTAGGTTTTGGTAAATAATAGTCAAAATCAGTTTGGAAATATAATGGCGTTCTCATTTTGGTGTCAGTACTCATCTCTAAGTGTGTTTATAACACTCTTGGAAGTTAATTTTTCTATAAAAGAAATGGCTTCCAAGGTGAATTTCCAATTCACTGCCTGCTATAAATGTATGCAGTATATACCAGGAGGGGGTTTCGAGAGTCAGTGTCCCCGCAGCCTGGTCCATGACCAGGACTCACGGTGGATCAGGGCTTCATCAACCAGGCTGTTAATGCTGCCTGCATGTAAACCAACGTATGAACCACAGCCCATAATAAAAAAAATCCCAAGAAACTTAAGTGTATGTAGTTGATGTAAGAATACTCAGCAAAACTAGTCAGAGTTTATCAAAATAACAGAAGGGTACTGGATATGTTAACCCTGAGGACACCATTAATTGAAGATATTTGTCTTCAAATTACTGTACAGTATAGTACATATGATTTTATTTCATAAATGTAAACTTGGAACAGAATATATACTGTACAGTATTTCTTTTCAGTTGATTACCGCTCTGTGTTTCATTCAACCTGCCTGAAGAAATTTACAGTATTTGACAGTCTAAATCGTCACGTGGGTATTCTGAGGATATTTCCCTCTATATCTGCTGAGACTGTTTCTGCATTTCTCCAGCCTCCTATGGCTGGAGCTGTCATTCAAACTTACGGTGCTGGTAACATGCCCTCTAACCGCACTGACATTATCAAGGTAGGCCCTTTATTGGTACTCATGTACATTTTTTTTATGTATTGTCATTTTCTTTTGCAGTGCAGAATGTTACTCAGTAAGATGCACAGGTGTTTTTTGATACATATTAATTGTTCAGAGTCTTTGGACTAATTGCAAAAACAGTTTTATTGCTAAGCAGCTATGAGAAAGAAAGCTGTTGAATGCATGACATTGAGAGTAATCCCATTACCTCTGTGTTGTACTGTGTTTGCTTAGACTAGTTTTATTTTTATCAACCTTAATAAGAAAGAAATTTGTTTATTAAGAAAATGACTACGGAAGAGATGATTAGTATCTTACAAGATTATCTTAAGAGGCAGCTACCCTAACTCTTTATACTCTTTATTTTACAACAGAATTTGTATGGTGATACATATGGGATGTGTGAGGGAAGGAGGGAGTAGAGGTTATACTGTACTATTATCAACAGGCATATATGTATGTTAATCGGGGTGGAGGTGAGGTGTTTATGGAATGAGTACGTATACATATTAGATGGGTTGGGATGATGTGGTTTGGTAGGTTAACAGTCAACCACAGTGTCTCAATCCACTTGATAGTTAATGTTTTTTCATTGAGATTATTATTTTCAGTACTATAAAAATGTAATGTACTCCCCTGTTTATGGTTGCAGTGGTTGATTCATAGCTCCTGGCCCCTGTCTCTTCTTCAGTCATCTTACCTTGGTGAGAGATGGCTGGTGGGTGTGTTAAGAACATTTTTTTGACATGCTGGCAGTCGTCCACCAAGGCAGGGTGACCCGAAAAAGACACACTTTTACCATCATTCACGCTATCACTGTCTTGCTAGAGGTGCACAGATATGACATTAGATGTTTCTCTAAACAGCAAATATAATGCAATATTTTGTTCAACTTCATAGGTGCTGGAAGAAGCAACTGAGCGAGGAGTGATCTTGGTTAACATTACTCAGTGTATGCACGGCTCTGTAGACACCATTTATGAGACAGGAGAGGTGGGTTTGACTCTCTACTGCTAGAAATAAACAAGATGGCACTCACAGCTAAAAATCATGATTGTCCATTGTAGCTTAAGATTAGTTGCAAGTTGGATGAGTATAAACTGTTTAAATATCATTACAATTTCTGCATAATATTTTCAGCAGCATATTGCTTTTCATTTGTTTTTCTCAGGGTCTGGTGCAGGCTGGAGTGATGGCAGGTCTGGACATGACACCTGAAGCAGCACTTACCAAACTTAGCTATGTCTTGGCCAAGAAAGAATGGGACAGTGATGCCAAGAAAGCGGTTAGTAGAAATCAGACAACTCATCAGAACACAGAGGGATTTATTATTATTATTACACTCAGAACTAAGCACTAAACCCACAAGGGTTATTCAGACAGAGTGATTGCAATGACTGGATGTCGCAACATGTCATAACCTCTGTAACTGGGAAGACATTGCACAAGCTTCAAGCTTAACGTATGATAAAAAGGATTTTTAAATGCTGTAGTTTTTTGGAAGCTTGGATTAGCATTTTTTAATCAAGATAAGCTAAAGATAAAAAAAAAAACAGTATTTTGTAAAACTCATTGCTCTTGTTTTACTCATTATAACTAGGAAATAGAATATGACTATTTTTACTTACTTATAACTGCACCATTTAAAATTAATATACAAGAGGTAACCTCTAGATACTGATAATATTTTTCTTCTGTAGTTTATTATTTTTTATTTACTGTAATTATTATTATTATATTTTGCTATATACTATTTTTTTTTTTCAACAAGTCGGCCGTCTCCCACCGAGGCCTATTATTTAATGTGATATTGCTCGTATTTATATTCAAATCTTTTACAGAAGTAGTATGAACTGTGCTCTTTATGAAAGCAGCAATTAACCAGTATTCCATAAGTGTTAACACACTTACAAATAATATAGTAACTGGTTAGCCAGACTTGAGTCCTGGAGGTGGGAAGTACAGTGCCTGCACTTTAAAGGAGGGGTTTGGGATATTGGCAGTTTGGAGTGACATCTAAACTGTCGTATCTGAGCGCCTCTGCAAAGAGGATTATGTATGAATGATGGGGAAAGTGTTGAACGATAATGAAAGTTTTTTCTTTCTTTTTGGGTCACCCTGCCTCAGTTTGAAACAGCCGACATGTTAAAAAAAAAGTAATAACAGGATAATAATTATTAGCTAATTTTATGATTGCATGTCATAAAGTAATTTTTTAATGACAGATGATGACCACAAATCTACGAGGTGAAATGACTGTAGTTAACCAGGAAGATGAGGAGTCGAGGGAATTGGATGTCATAAGCTCCATAGCTCGTGCTCTCCATCTGTCCTCTAGTGAAGATATTGAACATGTCAAGGAACTTCTCATTCCCACACTTTTCTTCTCTGCAATTAGTAATGCCGACTTAAAACGGCTGGAAGAAATTTACCGTAATGTAAGTACAGTACTGTGATGTAAGCTCACTACTGTGGTTGCTACTCCCCTCAAGGAAGGTTCCTTGATGTTGGTGAGGGGCTCTTGATTTAGGGAATTGGATCTGTGCTCAAGTTCCCCGAATTAAGCCTGAATGCCTTCCACATCCCCCCCCCCCAGGCGCTGTATAATCCTCCGGGTTTAGCGCTTCCCCCTTGATTATAATAATAATAATGTGGTTGCTACTTTGTCACTGTATTGAATACGTGTATAAGAAGTCACACTTATTGTTGGTAGCTTAGATCATTTTATCATGTCTGTAGGCCTGGGGGCTTTTGATATTTGTGAACTGATACAGTCAGTAACTACTGTCAGCGAGAGCTGTTCTCTAATATGATATGTTCACATTTCCTGCTTCAGACAGCCACTACGGTAAGTCTAGTTTATCTAGATTGTGCAGCTCTTCCTACTGCACCTTATTTATTTTCACAATCCTTGCTGGGGTGTAAAATGATTTACAATACTAACACACTCTAATTTTGATCACATTATTATAAGACATTCATAATTTGAAGATTTTACTTGGATGTTTGTGCTCATGCTTGTCTTTTTGTTTGTTCCATGAACATTTAGAATGACAGGTAAGTTCCTTAAACTTTTACCTACCAGGTACATTCAATATACACTTTACTTCCCTGCATGTTTCTTAATAGTTCTTATTAATGTTTTATTTCCAGTGTAGGTCTAATTAACGATTGGAGCCGTGAGGGTGATGATTCCCAGAATAATTAACAGATATAACAGTATTAACACTACACTTGGTGTAAACTTATGCAAATTTCCTGTGGAAATTTGACCAGTTGATACACTTGCCGCTAAGTTTTAAGTATGTTATGTAGCCAACCGCAGTATTTAAGTCAATTAGATCATCCAGCACTAGAGATTTAACTTCCCTCTCACACACAGGTTCATAATAATATACAGCTTTCTGTCTTATTATCTCAGCACTAAGTGGGTCACCTCTCTTTGTTTTTCCTCAGTTCACACATTCAGTAACTGTTCTGTCATTTTAACCTATTTGTTATTCATTGCAGTAGGGTTTTTTTTTTTTTCTAATGGTATGGACAGTTAATTCTCTGAGGCCAGAGTAATGGGCAGTTTGCAGCACACATCCACTTCCTCAAAGCATACATCAAAAACTTCAGTCTTCTTTGAAGTTGTCAGTTTCATGCTTAATTTTTTCTTTGCACTTCCAGCATAACTAGTTTTCTGTTGGATGCCATGGTTAATATCCAGAGATGAGGTAGGGTGCATAAAATGTCTAGAATTATTCAATAAACATAGGGGCACTGAACATGCAATTTAGGGAAAATTACACACTGTGTATCCATCCTGGATGTCACAAATCACTTGATTCCATACTGATATTTTCACACATTATGGCATGTGCATTTGAGGGCTCTTCAGAAAAAAATTGGTTAATGGTTGCAATTTTTTAATTGTTGAACTCATATATTCGGGCTCTCATAAACCATGGCTCTGTGGTATACTTTACTGTACATGCATTAATTAATAGATGAGTAGAGAGTCATTAATTTCTTATAGTATATGAACACTTGAAATTGTATAACATTTATTAAAATTGTATTCCCAAAAAAGTGTTAAACCTATATAGATGTACTGTACAATTTGTTGTGTGTTGCAGGGTATTGAAATTAACCTGCAGGATGCCTCTGGCTGGACAGCTTTACACATGGCATGTAATGAGGGACTGACTGATGTGGTGACATGGCTGCTGAAGCATGGTGCCTCAGTACACATCAGGGACAGGCTGGGACGGACACCCCTCAGTGTGGCCATTGAGAATGATCACCACAAGGTACAGAGAAAATCTTATGCTATACATACAGCATTATCCATTAATGATGATAAAAGCATTTTAAAATTTTGGCTTCTGAAGTATTACTATATTGTGGAATGCTATTGTATTTCAGAGATAATTAAATGGATTTCTATTATCTAGCATAAGGTAGTACAGTGGTACCTTGAATTTTGAACATCTCCCAACTCGAACAATTATATAAGTGTATTTTTGTAAGTGTATTTTTGGGGGTCTGAAATGGACTAATTTACATTATTCCTTATGGGAACAAATTCGTTCAGTAACAGCACTTGAACAGCCTTCTGGAACAAATTATGGCCGAAATTCTTGCTCCCAACATCTTGCTCCTGGGGGATTTCAACCTTAGGCACCTAAAATGGAGGAACATAGCAAATAATGCTGTAGCAGAGACAACACTAGGAGGCAGCTCAGATGAAAACTCGCACACACACAAGCTTTTAAATCTCTGCACCAAATTCACCTTAAACCAACAAATAATAGAGCCTACAAGATTGGAGAATACACTGGACCTCATCTTCACTAACAATATACTCAGATCACAACATAATAGAGGTTCAGACATGTATGCGCGGGGCCCCAGACCGACAAAATGTGACCAGTCATGAGGGAGCTTTCACCATTTCAACTTCAATAACAAAAACATAAAGCGAGCTGCTAACCAGACTGAGAGTCGAAGACCTAAATGAATTTTTTATGAGAGTGCCACAGAATTTGGTAGACGCAAATCTGTCTGACATTATCCTGACGCCAAATGACTTCGAAAAGGCGATAAATGACATGCCCATGCACTCTGCCCCAGGCCCAGACACATGGAACTCTGTGTTCATCAAGAATTGCTAAAAGCCCGTATCACGTGCCTATAACATCCTGTGGAGAGGAGCATGGACACGGGGGTCGTCCCACAGCTGCTAAAAACAACAGACATAGCCCCACTTCACAAAGGGGGCAGTAAAGCAATAGCAAAGAACTACAGACTGATAGTGCTAACATCCTATATCATAAAAATCTTTGAAAGGGCTCTAAGAAGCAAGATTGCCACCCATCTAGATACCCATCGGTTACACAACCCAGGGCAACATGGGTTTAGAGCAAGTTGCTCCTGTCTTTCCCAGCTACTGGACCACTATGATGCTCTAGAAGACAAACAAAATGAAGATGTAATACACACAGACTGCAAAAGCCTTTGACAAGTGTGACCACGGTGTAATAGCAACACAAAATACGTGATAAAGGAATAACAGGAAAAGTTGGTAGATGGATCTATAATTTCCTAACAGATAGAACAGAGAGAGTAATAGTAAACAGAGTAAAGTCTGAGGCGGCTACCGTGAAGCGCTCTGTTCCACAAGGCACAGTACTCTCCCCCATCTTGTTCCTCATCCTCATATCTAACATAGACGGGGATATTAACCACAGCGCTGTGTCTTCTTTTGCAGATGACACCTGAATTTGCATGACAGTGTCCTCCATTGAAGACACCGCAAGACTCCAGGCAGATATCAACCAAATCCCAGTATTTGAGGTGTTTTATCGCAGTTATGTGTGCCATGAAGGTTCTCTACATTTTCTAGGTCAGCAATTTCACCTGCCTTGAAAGATGCTTTTAGCATGCAGCAATATTCCAGCCTAGATAGAACAAGTGACCTGATGAATGTCATCATGGGCTTGGTATCCCTAGATTTGAAGGTTCTCATTATCCATCTTGTCATTTTTCTAGCAGATGCAATTGATACAATGTTGTGGTCTTTGAAAGGGAGATCCATTCACATTATCACTCCAAGGTCTTTTACGATGGTTTTTTTGCTCTATTGTGTGGTTGGAATTTGTTTTTTATTCCGATATAGTTATAATTTCCTCACATTTTCCATATCGGATTAATTGAAATTTCTCATTATTGAACTTCATATTGTTTTCTGCATCCCATTTAAAGATTTGGTTGATGTCCGCCTGGAGTCTTGCAGTGTCTTCACTGGAGGACACTGTCATGCAGATTCAGGTGTCATCTGCAAAGAAAGACATGGTGCTGTGGCTTATATCCTGGAAGAGCTTTTCTGAGTAGCAACCTCAGAGTCTACTCTGTTTACTACTACACTTTGTGTTCTATTTGTTAGGAAATTATAGATCCATCTACCAACTTTTCCTTTTATTCCTTTATCACGCATTTAGTGCGCTATTACACCATGGTCACACTTGTCAAAGGCTTTTGCATGAATTTTTTACATGAATTACAGTGTGAATTACAAATATTTTACAGCGATGACTTACATGGATAGCACAAACCTAAGCAATGCTAGTTTTTAAGATACAGTAACATACTATAATGATGATGATAAAAACTAGAACAGCATTTCTCAAACAGTATACTGCAGCCAGCAAGGAAACTGTGTGCAGAGAAAAACCTTAAATGACTGGGAGGTTGTTTGACAAATTACATGTAGCTAAACTGAACTATCAGTTGTCAGACTCATACCATTTATGCTTCTATCTGACAGCCTCTTTACCTTCAGGTAATTGAGCTGCTATTAAAGACGGGAGCACATCTTACTGAATCTACACAAAAACTTGGGGAGGAACTTGTGACAGCAGCAGGAGTGAACAATAAGAAAAGGCTTATGTCGTATTACCTGGCTGAAGCAGACCTCTCTAACAGTGACCCTTGTGGCCGTACTGCCTTACATGCTGTGAGTACTGTACATCATCTTATTTTTGTCTTGCTTTATGATGTTACTTCAGCTATGCTTCTTTTTGTACTCTTGCAAAGATTTAGCTTTCTGACAATAATACAGTATACCAGAGCTGATCTACATATAATGTTATTCAGTTGCATCTCCTTAGCTCACATCTCAACCCTTAAACGGTCCAAAGAGATCGATGTTCAAATTCATAGTGCTACAAAAGTAGATCTACTTTTTTTTACATATTTTCAAATATAACAAAAAAAATGTAGATAAAAGTTTTTTTTACACGTTTTCAAATGTAAAACAAAAAAGATCTACTTTTTTTTACATACTTTCAGATATTGAAAAAACGTATATATACGTTTGGACCATTTAAGGGTTAAAATACCAGCTAGTGGAAACTCCAACTTCATAACCCTGTATAATATATTGTATATAATTTTTTCTTTTATCTATATAATTTGGAGATATAATAAGTACAGTCTTTATATTCTATATGAGAAAGATTTCTAGTACAAATAATAACCACTTCACAATGCCTTTACAATTTCCATTTGTGCTTTTTAAGAAAACAAAGACTACTAAATTTATTTTCACTTGGCTACAGTATTATGAAACAGTTACTTTAATTTTGTTACAGGCTTGCACAGTGGGATCAGTGGAATGTGTACGTTTCCTTTTGGATGCTAATGTTCCTACTGATGTGCGTGACCGTACTGACCTCACACCAGTTATGTGTGCTGAGATCAATAACAACCAGCACTTGGTGGAACTGATAGCTGCCCATGAGGAGATAAATGGTGAGAAGATCCATTAGTCTGAAGTGTTGTAAATTAAGCAAAAATATTTGCATGAGTTTTAATAATGCAGACATCCAGAGTACAGTGCTGTATTGTAAAGGTAGCAGAAATTGTTGTCTTTATAATACCAAGTCCTGATCTTTGTCTTGCCTGACTCCACCAAAATATCATCACCCTCAAGAACTGCAAGCCATCCATCAGATCTATCACCCTGAAAGTGTTGTCACTTATCAATACTCAAGTGTCTGTTGTAATGGCAGTTATATATAGCTAGTATTCCTTGTGTATTCCCCATGGGGAAGTGGAACAGAATTCTTCCTCCGTAAGCCATGCGTGTTGTAAGAGGCGACTAAAATGCCGGGGGCAAGGGGCTAGTAACCCCTTCTCTTGTATAAATTACTAAATTTAAAAAGAGAAACTTTTTTTTGGGCAACCCTGCCTTGGTGGGATATGGCCAGTTAGTTGGAAAAAAAAAATTCCTTGTGTATATGTTCTTGGGGTTGTTAGACCACAAAAGCTTATGCCTTATTGAGCCCAGCTTCCCAGGAGTCTGGGAAAAATATATTGGACAAATCTGGTTGGGAATTATAAAGAACAAAGTTTCCTCGAAAAGAGAAATGGGAACAATACGTCCTGACAGAGCAAGACACCCCATACACTTCCCACCTGAGTTAACAACAACAATAATAATATCTTTATTTCTACAAGTACATGTACAAGGTATACAGGCCTAGCTGACATCAGTGACATACTACTATATAGAAAGCCGCTTGTTATGCAGAGCATTTCAGGCAAATTAAGTCAGCTTTGTCCCAAGATGCAACCCACACCAGTCGACTAACACCCAGGTACCCATTTTGCACTGATGGGTGAACAGGGACAGCAGGTGTCTTATGGAAACAAGTCCTGATGTTTTCCAGCCGTATTGCAGATTCGAACTCCAGACCTCAGTGTGTGAGCTGAGTGAGCTAGCGATTGAGCTATGGGACACCCGGACACCTATTATATGGCACGTCAACCAATTGGTCAGCAGCAGGCACTGTTATGATGAGAAATGTTTCAAGAGAGAGAGAAAAAAAAGGAAAATTTGACACTAAGCTGAAGGCAGGGTAGGGCAAGATGTCTGCACTCCAGCAATGCCATTACAGAAGTTCTTGTGTGTATAATATCAGTGCTAGAAGAAATTGCAGTAATAATGCAATGTATTTAGAAAATAAACAGAGTTGGTATTGAATTTATGCCTTAAATATGCCATTAGTGCCTGTGGATGTTTTGATGTCGTAGTCTCAAATGAAACAGTTGATACATTCATTCATATTTAAATCTGCTTTAATAAACTGACAATTTAATCATCTCTGTAGATGCAAAATTAGTTTCCAAGCATAATTAAAGTGTTTACCAGGTAACAATACTTAAATAATGTAAGATATATGATTGCTACTCGCTCCCATTCAATTTTGTAATCATATTCCTTTGTTTTGATATTCTTATGGGAAGATAATGTTTGGTAAGTTCATTTGTTTTTTACTACTCAACACACTGATGAAGAGGCTTAAATGATAACCCTCTTCAATACATTTTTGCACTATTTTTTTACTTTTTTATCCTTGCTTATAAGCTTAATTATCAGGTGTTAATACAACAGTCATTTCTTTATTTTTTACTTTGTATATGTTTCTTGTCCTATATAAAGTTACTGCTAAAGATCTTAAAATATTACACTCTTATAGTGGAAATTTTGTTAATGGTATCTTCACCTATTACTGCTGTTAGCTTACACTTATGATTGCTTGTTAGTTTAAGAGTGATATATTTTAATGTGTATGTTTTAATGAAAAGATAATAATATAATATATACCCAGAAGGGGTCAGTGTTAACAGATACTGGTCAGACTATAGAGGCTAAAACACAAAATTTGCAACATTGTGTTTGATTAAGTACTGCTGTGTCTACAACTGTGTATTAGCATGATAAATCTCACTGCTGTGCTTGTTGCCTGTCTTCTCTGTGGTTTGTGTGTAAACTTTTTTTATTGCATGTTGGTTTACCCTCACAGGAAGATTCTTGGTGCTGGTGAAGGGCTCTTGATCTAAGGAATTGGACCTGACCTCCTCTTCCTTGGGCTGAACCTGATTGTCTCCCTTTCCCCAGGGTGACCCCTATGGGTTTACGTCTTTCCCCCTGAATATAATAATAATGTTAATGAATATTTAACCCTTAAACTGTCCAAATGAAGATCTACGTTCACTCGTGTAGCGCTCCAAACGTAGATCTAAGTTTTATTTTACATGCCTTCATATGTAAAATAAAACGTAAATCTACATTCAGAGCACTAAGCGAGTGAACGTAGATCTACGTGTGGACAGTTTAACAGTTAATGAATACTAATGCTTACTTTTGTATTAAAGCATGATATTTCTTTAGAAAAGTGTTCAATTTAGAAAAGTTTTTTGCTGCTAGTGATAGTGATATATGCAGACTAAGCAATAATAATATTTTTCTCACTTTATTGTTTATGAAAGAATAAAAATCTCATGCATCTGCAAAGGCCTGTAATTCATGCAAGAAGTATAAGGCCTCTGCATGCTTGTTTGGGATTTTTACTTTGTATGTGATACAGTAAGCTGTATGAAAGATGAGGTGAATCATAGAATTGATGAGGGGAAAAGGGTGAGTGGTGCACTTAGGAGTCTGTGGAGACAAAGAACTTTGTCCTTGGAGGCAAAGAGGGGAATGTATGAGAGTATAGTTTTACCAACGCTCTTATTTGGGTGTGAAGCATGGGTGATGAATGTTGCAGCATGGAGAAGGCTGGAGGCAGTGGAGATGTCATGTCTGAGGGCAATGTGTGGTGTGAATATAATGCAGAAAATTCGTAGTTTGGAAGTTAGGAGGAGGTGCGGGATTACCAAAACTGTTGTCCAGAGGCTGAGGAAGGGTTGTTGAGGTGGTTCGGACATGTAGAGAGAATGGAGCGAAACAGAGTGACTTCAAGAGTGTATCATCTGTAGTGGAAGGAAGGCGGGGTAGGGGTCGGCCTAGGAAAGGTTGGAGGGAGGGGGTAAAGGAGGTTTTGTGTGCGAGGGGCTTGGACTTCCAGCAGGCATGCGTGAGCGTGTTTGATAGGAGTGAATGGAGACAAATGGTTTTTAATACTTGACGTGCTGTTGGAGTGTGAGCAAAGTAACATTTATGAAGGGATTCAGGGAAACCGGCAGGCCGGACTCGAGTCCTGGAGATGGGAAGTACAGTGCCTGCACTCTGAAGGAGGGGTGTTAATGTTGCAGTTTAAAAACTGTAGTGTAAAGCACCCTTCTGGCAAGACAGTGATGGAGTGAATGATGGTGAAAGTTTTTCTTTTTCAGGCCACCCTGCCTTGGTGGGAATCGGCCAGTGTGATAATAAAAAAACAGTAAGCTGTATCTGTTTTGAGTATTTAGCTTAGTTGATTAGATTAGATTAGATTTTTTATTTTGGCAAATTACATGGTTGTACAGAGGAATATAATAGTTCGGGTGTAAATGCCAAAAGCCCCTCTGTATGCTGAGCATTTCGGGCAAACGTAAAGATTAACTTAAGAATAGTAAGGCAATAATATATAGTTCATATGGTCATTTATTTAGTTGTAGCTACAGTTAGAGTAAGATGTAGATGGGACAAGAGGAAGGTGGCAACAACAAGTAGGAGGAAAGTGAAAGTGTATAAACTAAGGGAGGAGGAAGTTAGGGTGAGATATAAACGACTATTGGCAGAAAGGTGGGCTAGTGCAAAGATGAGTAGTGGGGGGGGTTGAAGAGGGTTGGATAAGTTTTAAAAATGCAGTATTAGAATGTGGGGCAGAAGTTTGTGGTTATAGGAGGGTGGGGGCAGGAGGAAAGAGGAGTGATTGGTGGAATGATGATGTAAAGGGTGTGATAAAAGAGAAAAAGTTAGCTTATGAGAGGTTTTTACAAAGTAGAAGTGTTATAAGAAGAGCAGAGTATATGGAGAGTAAAAGAAAGGTGAAGAGAGTGGTGAGAGAGTGCAAAAGGAGAGCAGATGATAGAGTGGGAAAGGCACTGTCAAGAAATTTTAATGAAAATAAGAAAAAATTTTGGAGTGAGTTAAACAAGTTAAAGCCTAGGGAACGTATGGATTTGTCAGTTAAAAACAGAGTAGGGGAGTTAGTAGATGGGGAGATGGAGGTATTAGGTACATGGCGCGAATATTTTGAGGAACTTTTAATTGTTGAGGAAGAAAGGGAGGTGGTAATTTCATGCACTGGCCAGGGAGGTATACCATCTTTTAGGAGTGAAGAAGAGCAGAATGTAAGTGTGGTGGAGGTACGTGAGGCATTACGTAGAATGAAAGGGGGTAAAGCAGCTGGAACTGATGGGATCATGACAGAAATGTTAAAAGCAGGGGGGATATAGTGTTGGAGTGGTTGGTACTTTTGTTTAATAAATGTATGAAAGAGGGGAAGGTACCTAGGGATTGGCAGAGAGCATGTATAGTCCCTTTATGTAAAGGGAAAGGGGACAAAAGAGATTGTAAAAATTATAGAGGAATAAGTTTACTGAGTATACCAGGAAAAGTATACGGTAGGGTTATAATTGAAAGAATTAGAGGTAAGACAGAATGTAGGATTGCGGATGAGCAAGGAGGTTTCAGATTGGGTAGGGGATGTGTAGATCAAGTGTTTACATTGAAGCATATATGTGAACAGTATTTAGAGAAAGGTAGGGAAGTTTATTTTGCATTTATGGAATAAATGCTGTAAAGAGGTTTTATGAGGATAGTGAGGCTCAGGTTAGGGTGTGTAGAAGAGAGGGAGAATACTTCCCGGTAAAAGTAGGTCTTAGACAGGGATGTGTAATGTCACCATGGTTGTTTAATATATTTATAGATGGGGTTGTAAAAGAAGTAAATGCTAGGGTGTTCGGGAGAGGGGTGGGATTAAATTATGGGGAATCAAATACAAAATGGGATTTGACACAGTTACTTTTTGCTGATGATACTGTGCTTATGGGAGACTCTAAAGAAAAATTGCAAAGGTTAGTGGATGAGTTTGGGAGTGTGTGTAAAGGTAGAAAGTTGAAAGTGAACATAGAAAAGAGTAAGGTGATGAGGGTATCAAATGATTTAGATAAAGAAAAATTGGATATCAAATTGGGGAGGAGGAGTATGGAAGAAGTGAATGTTTTCAGATACTTGGGAGTTGACGTGTCGGCGGATGGATTTATGAAGGATGAGGTTAATCATAGAATTGATGAAGGAAAAAAGGTGAGTGGTGCATTGAGGTATATGTGGAGTCAAAAAACGTTATCTATGGAGGCAAAGAAGGGAATGTATGAAAGTATAGTAGTACCAGCACTCTTATATGGGTGTGAAGCTTGGGTTGTGAATGCAGCAGCGAGGAGGCGGTTGGAGGAGGTGGAGATGTCCTGTCTAAGGGCAATGTGTGGTGTAAATATTATGCAGAAAATTCAGAGTGTGGAAATTAGGAGGTGTGGAGTTAATAAAAGTATTAGTCAAGAGGGCTGAAGAGGGGTTGTTGAGGTGGTTTGGTCATTTAGAGAGAATGGATCAAAGTAGAATGACATGGAGAGCATTTAAATCTGTAGGAGACGGAAGGCGGGGTAGGGGTTGTCCTCAAAAAGGTTGGAAGGAAGGGGTAAGGGAGGTTTTGTGGGCGAGGGGCTTGGACTTCCAGCAGGCGTGCATGAGCATGTTCAATAGGAGTGAATGGAGACGAATGGTATTTGGGACTTGACGATCTGTTGGAGTGTGAGCAGGGTAATATTTAGTGAAGGGATTCAGGGAAACCGGTTATTTTTATATAGCCGGACTTGAGTCCTGGAAATGGGAAGTACAGTGCCTGCACTCTAAAGGAGGGGTTTTGGGATATTAGCAGTTTGGAGGGATATGTTGTGTATCTTTATACGTATATACTTCTAAACTATTGTGTTCTGAGCGCCTCTGCAAAAACAGTGATTATGTGTGAGTGTGGTGAAAGTGTTGAATGATGATGAAAGTATTTTCTTTTTGGGGATTTTCTTTCTTTTTGGGTCACCCTGCCTCGGTGGGAGACGACTGACTTGTTGAAAAAAAAAAATGGTCATTAGATGAGTTAGAGTGAGTACAGGAGAATTTAATATTATACCAGGTAATGCTACATGGTTTTTATAAGTCTAGTAGAGACTTTTTACACTATTGAATTAGTTAATAAAGATTACAGTATTACAATGTAACAATTTAAAACAATTTTCAGTGTGATGTATTACAGTTTAGTACTGTTTAAAACAATGAAATTTGGTATTACAATGGAACAATTTACATTATGATGTACTGTATTACAATCTACTACTATTTATAACAGTGAAAAGAGCAGACATGATCAGGAAGACTATTGAAATGTATTCTTTTACAAGAATATTCTTTAATTTTGGTCAGCGATTCTCAATTTATTACCAAAATATATCTATTTACTATGACTAGCACATAAAGAAATGGAAAATAGGAAACAAAAATTGGATGGAAAAAGAAACAAAATTGTTGTATAATGCAATCAATTATTGATGTGTTTCCCCCATAATGCAATCAATTATTGATGTGTTTCCCCCATGCTGTGGTCTTTATTAAGTCTGTGACTTAAAAAGTCCCACTGTCAGAGGAAAACATTGTCAGTGAAGGATTGCATTATACTAATGCATTAGTGTGTCTTTTTTCACATCAAGATGTCGCAAATACCAAATTTTCCTCATAATGTTGCAAGTTTATTTTTTTTTCTAAATTACTGGATTAGTTTTTTTATTTTTCAGGTTGAATTATTTGCACGTCACAATACTATGAATGATGCCAAAGAACTTTAATCTCAATAATTTTCTTTGTACTTTTCATTTAAGATAGACTGAGCAGAAGTTTTGTTAGGTACAAGGACAAGGGCAACTAATGTGACATTTTACTGTGGCAATGTTTCACTCTCCAGGAGCTTTACCAAACCATTATGACTTGATACAGCTCCTGAAGAGCGAAACGTTGCCACAATAAAATGTCACATTAGTTGCATTTTGTGTCCTGTTACCTAACATATTGTCGGTAATTCTATCAACATTAATACAGAAGTCTTGTTATAGGTGTATACCAGGAGGGTATCTGTTGTTTTTATTCTTCTTTGCTTATTTTAAACTTTGATCATTTTTTCACATGAAATATTGTAATGCATTTTCATATTTTCATATGTTGTGTATCTTTGTACGTATATGCTTCTAAACTGTTGTGTTCTGAGCACCTCTGCAAAAACAGTGATTATGTGTGAGTGTGGTGAAAGTGTTGAATGATGAAAGTATTTTCTTTTTGGGTATTTTCTTTCTTTTTTGGGTCACCCTGCCTCTGTGGGAGACGGCCGACTTGTTCAAAAAGAAAAATCATATTTGTAGTTATCAAATGAAAGTGGGTATGATCAAGTTTAGTATATTATCTGTTATATGAGGTAAAATTAGGTTTGTCTTTAATCACTTGAATACCAAATTAAGCATCTTCCATTAGCCATATCAAACATCGATTTCAGGAGTCTCCCCATAAAGTTATGTAATTATACAACCCATTCTACACATAACAAGCATGGTTCTACATTGAGTTAAAATGCATCATTTTTTTGCACAACTTAAGCTGAGACCAAAATTATATATTACTGTTATTCTAGATTAGCTTAGCCTGTCAATAATTTTTTTTTTTTATTATTACACTGGCCGATTTCCACCAAGGCAGGGTGGCCCGAAAAAGAAAAACTTTCACCATCATTCACTCCATCACTGTCTTGCCAGAAGGGTGCTTTACACTACAGTTTTTAAACTGCAACATTAACACCCCTCCTTCAGAGTGCAGGCACTGTACTTCCCATCTCCAGGGCTCAAGTCCGGCCTGCCGGTTTCCCTGAATCCCTTCATAAATGTTACTTTGCTCACACTCCAACAGCACATCAAGTATTAAAAACCATTTGTCTCCATTTACTCCTATCAAACACGCTCACGCATGCCTGCTGGAAGTCCAAGCCCCTCGCACACAAAACCTCCTTTACCCCCTCCCTCCAGCCTTTCCTAGGCCGACCCCTACCCCGCCTTCCTTCCACTACAGACTGATACACTCTTGAAATCATTCTGTTTCGCTCCATTCTCTCTACATGTCTGAACCACCTCAACAACCCTTCCTCAGCCCTCTGGACAACAGTTTTGGTAATCCCGCACCTCCTCCTAACTTCCAAACTACGAATTCTCTGCATTCTATTCACACCACACATTGTCCTCAGACATGACATCTCCACTGCCTCCAGCCTTCTCCTCGCTGCAACATTCATCACCCATGCTTCACACCCATATAAGAGCGTTGGTAAAACTATACTCTCATACATTCCCCTCTTTGCCTCCAAGGACAAAGTTCTTTGTCTCCACAGACTCCTAAGTGCACCACTCACCCTTTTCCCCTCATCAATTCTGTTTCACCTCATCTTTCATAGACCCATCCGTTGACACGTCCACTCCCAATCTGAATACATTCACCTCCTCCATACTCTCTCCCTCCAATCTGATATCCAATCTTTCATCACCTAATCTTTTTGTTATCCTTATAAACTTACTCTTTCCTGTATTCACTTTTAATTTTCTACTTTTGCACACCCTACCAAATTCATCCACCAATCTCTGCAACTTCTCTTCAGAATCTCCCAAGAGCACAGTGTCATCAGCAAAGAGCAACTGTGACAACTCCCACTTTATGTTTGATTCTTTATCTTTTAACTCCACGCCTCTTGCCAAGACCCTCGCATTTACTTCTCTTACAACCCCATCTATAAATATATTAAACAACCACGGTGACATCACACATCCTTGTCTAAGGCCTACTTTTACTGGGAAATAATTTCCCTCTTTCCTACATACTCTAACTTGAGCCTCACTATCCTCGTAAAAACTCTTCACTGCTTTCAGTAACCTACCTCCTACACCATACACCTGCAACATCTGCCACATTGCCCCCCTATCCACCCTGTCATATGCCTTTTCCAATAATTTATGCTGTGTTTATGTATAGTTAACTGCCAATAATGAAACTGCATCAATAGCAGCTACATCTGGCAGTGGTGAAGACATTATCATTGGTTAAATAATTTGAAAAAGTTGGAAACCTCAGATTGATTAGGTTGGAGGATGGGTAAACAAAAGGAACATTTATTCTAGTGTCTGTTGGTTTTTTTTTTTTTCTTGATGAAGCTATACATAAAAATGTGAAATAAACATGCACAGGGTTAAGAGAATTCTCCTTACAGAATCAGGCTTATTCATAACTTCACAAATTTTCCATCCACTCGAAGCAATTTTGTTAAAGATTTTATTAATGTTCCTTATGAGTTGTCTCTGTAGACATCATATATGAAATGTAGACACATTGATAAATCTTGCATTAGCAGGTCACATTGAATAATCATTTCTGGTCCAACAAACTTGAAGATTTCCACATAGTTTTCACTCTTGCTGCTCAAGACTTTTAAAATTTACTTAGTTTTTTACCTTTGCCAAAATTTTTGATGAGTTCTTTATAGATTTTGATCATTAGTAAATACTAATTTTTTTTTCCAGATTCTATGTATCATGCATCTCATTATCCTCACTTGATGTGCTTTGTCTTACAGAGGAAGTGCGTCACAGCGTGAGACACTGAGAACCACCACAAAGAACATAATCACTCCCAATAGATCTATATTCCTTATATACTCTTACTTCTTTCTGTAGATAATCAGTGGGTATTACTACAAAGAAAATGGTACTGGTAGGCTACCATATTAATATCATGCAGTGTTATATAATAAAAATAAACTCTTTGCTATATGTATAATTATGATTCATTAACTTTGTAAATAGCTGTAGGCATTGTTATTTAATCTATAAGTGTCCAGTTTTAATATTCATTATAATAGCTTCTAATCATAAAGTCATGTATACAGTGTTTCATATAAATAACAATTCTATAGAATATAGAAATCCATGTAGAAAGTAAACTCTGTTTAAAATAACATTTTGCTATCCATGATACTATTATCAAAGCCCTATAAGGCAAGGAAGTCATTTTCTGAAAAAAATTCTAATTTCTGTATAGTGTCCTATATACTGTACATACTTCTTTTCTCTTTGAAATGTATATAGTATATTGTAAATTTATTTTCATCATTATTATATTTTTGTAATTTAGTATATAAATCATGATCTAAATGAATTTCCAAGATTTTCTGTATCACATTCAAACCCATGATATTTCTGTATCACCTTCAAATCCACAGTACTGTATTTCAACAGTATTATTACTTTATTAACTAAGATTTGAATAATGGCTCAGCAACATGGATTTTTTATTTTCCTGTTCAAAGGTCCAGCTTTTAGTTTGGAAACTATTTGTTGTTTTATGCTAGTGTAATGGGTGTATATGTTATGAGTGGAGGGATGAGAGCTTGAGATGAATATAGTATTGTGTTTGTGCTCCATTTAGTTTGTACAAGAAGCAGAGAAGATCCTTCCTCCGTAAACCATGCATGTCGTAAGAGGCGGCTAAAATGCCAGAAGCAAGGGGCTAGTAAACCCGTCTTTTATGTAAATTACTATATGTAAAAAGAAGAAAAACTTTCTGAAATTGTTTCTTCTTTTTTGGGTCACCTGCCTCGGTGGGAGACAGCTGGTGTGTTAACCCTTCGACTGTCGCGGCCGTATATATACACCTACCATCCGACTTACGACCTGCTCGACTTACGACCACTCGACTTACGACCGTGTTTTTTATGCCAAATTTCTGGGAAATAAACAACTATTTGTGTTGTACACAGTGTTTATCCTAAACCTTACAGTATAAAATACAGTACTTACAGTATAAAAAATAAAGTAAAACATGAAATACCAAAATAAAACAATAAAATAGTCATTACAAAAATGTTTTGTTGATATTCAGTAGTAAAGTTCGACTTACGACCATTTCGGCTTACAACCAGTTTCTCGGAACCGAACTCGGTCATAAGTCGGATGGTAGGTGTACGTTTTATGAGGTACCGTGTTTGACATATATATACTGTACTCATAAATTCTAGCGGCATCAAATCAAGCAGGAGAAAGCTGGTAGGCCCACATGTGAGAGAATGGGTCTGTGTGGTCAGTGTGCACCATATAAAAAAAAATCCTGGAGCACGCAGTGCATAATGAGAAAAAAAAAACTGGCCGTTTTTTTTAATTAAAATGCCGACTTTGTGGTCTATTTCCGTATAGTATTTATGATTGTATTCTCGTTTTCTTGGTCTCATTTGATAGAATGGAAAACATATTATAGAAATAGAGGTGATTTTGATTGATTTTACTATAAAAAGAAACTGGAAATGGAGCTCAAAGTAGGGGAAATGTTTGATTTTTGCCAATGTTCAAAAGTAAACAAATGATGTCATTGTCCAATAAATGTCCAACTAGCCATTCTAATATGCAGTCATGAATGGGTTGATGTTATTTATACAATTATTACAGTATTACTGTAGTCTGCATAATAGTAAGTCTTCTATTTTTTGTTTGAATAAAAATTCAAAATAGAAAGCAAGAGTAATATCAGAGGGGCCTGGAGACATGACTGATGAACAAAGAAAATGTTATTTTAGAGCCAGGAATGTCTGCATTGTTCATTCTGGACCTTATTTTGAAATAGTCATATTTTTAATTTTCATGAAATTGGCCAAATTGCAAATTTCTGACCACATTATTGGGTAGTTGAAATCGGTAAATGGGCAGTTTCTTGTACTCAATCGATAGAAAAAATGGAGTTCTAAAGAAATACCTATGAGTTTGGTCGACTGGAAGAACGGAATTAGCCAAAAATAGGGCTCAAAGTGGGCGAAATCGCCAATTTGTAAATATCACCGAGGTCACTAACTTCGCTAGAGCATAATTCCGTCAGTTTATCATCAAATTTCGTTTTTTTTTGTGTCATTACAATCAGGAAAGGATTCTCTATCATTTCATAAGAAAAAATAATTTTTTTTTTTAAATTTGCAACACCAGGAGACGCCTCAGGATTGGGGGTTGCAACAGTCAAGGGGTTAAAAAACATACTTTTTCTGTTGCTAATCTTATAATATTTGTGGGTGTGCAAGCTTAGGTATATGTGAGGCTGACTAATGTGTTGTGATTGTGTTGGGGACTAGTACATAAATATAAATGTGTATGGGTGTATATGGGTGTAGCTTGACTGATAGTGAAGTAATTATTTTGGTATGGCAGGAAGAGATTTTTAATTTGTTTGAATTTCCTTTCTCAGGATGCATTGTGATCAATTAATTTCTAAATTTTGAATATGAGCACAATCTAATGATTGTGTTGCAATGTATAATGAATGTGTTGAAATGTACAATGAATAATTTGTTGTATAAAAATTAAATGTTTCATAATGAATTGCATTACTCTAAGAAAAACAATCATATATGTAAAATTTAGAAGGGGAGTCTGATGTCCAACACCTGACAGCCAGAAAGGAAGCATCAGCATGGGAAGTCCTTGCAGAATTTTGGGAGAATAAGATATGCTGTGAGTAGAGAAGTTGGAAGGGGACAGCACTACAGCTGGTGGCTGCTCCTGCAAGGTTTTGTGAAAAAGGATCTTTTCTTAGGAAAGAATGAAAAGCAGGGGTGTCGTGCATACACTAAGAGACAACACAAATGTCAGGGGTCAATACTGACTGTCTTCAAGAGGGAGCTGGACAGGCACCTAAAGCAAGTACCTGACCAGCCTGGCTGTGGTTCATATGTTGGTTTGTGTGCGGCTGGCATTAATAGCCTGGTTAATCAGGCCCTGATATACTACGAGGCCTGGTCATGGACCATACTGCAGGGGCATTCACCCCAGAACACCTTTCAGGTATACTTCCGGTATATGCATGTGGTTGTTTCTATTACTAAGTAAAATAGCAGGCTGACTGTATCTTGAAGGTGTGTAGCGTAACATTAAATTCTAATATCATTACTATGCTTACAAAACTGCATAAAAGTATAAATATATTTTAAAACTGTCTTTTTATCATTTACCTTATTTTACTTTCTTCATTTGATGGTAATTGATAGATCTGGTGAAGGCAAGGTTTAAAAGAAGTTACAGTCTGTGCACGTACAAACATGCAGCATTCACATTAGTGGCAGACAAGTTTTTGTGCTGTGATAAGGTTAAAATTTTTATTTTGTAACTAAGTCTGTAGTTGCAGACTGTGTCAAATGTTTTTCAGGTATCCTAATGGACAAGTTTTTTTTTATTTTGGTTTGTGCACTGTATGTATGTGTAGCATGATTACTGTGGACTGCAGTTCAAGCTCCTAGTCCATCCTGCTTATTGCAAAGGTTAGTGGTCGAGTTTGGAAGATGTGTAAAGGAAGAAAGTTAAAAGTGAATGTAGATAAGAGTAAGGTGATGAGAGTAGCAAGTGATTTAGATAAGGAAAAATTAGATGTCAGACTGGAGGGAGGGAGAATGGAAGAAGTGAATGTGTTCAGATATTTGGGAGTAGACTTGTCAGTGGATGGGTTTATGAGGGACAAGGTAAACCATAGAACTGATGGAGGAAAAAAGGTGAGGTGGTGCATTGAGGCATCTGTGGAGACAAGAAAATTATCCATGGAGGCAAAGAAGGGAATGTACGAGAGTATAGTGGTACCAACACTCTTATATGGGTGTGAAGCATGGGTTGTAAATGTTGCAGCAAGAAGGCTAAAGGCAGTGATGTCATGTCTAATGGCAATGTGTGGCATAAATATTATACAGAAAATTTGTAGTGTGGAAATTAGGAGGAGGTGTGGAGTTACTAAAAGTATTATTCGGGAGGCTAAGGAGAGGTTGTTAGCTATTTTGGTGATTTAGAGAGGATGGAGCAAAATAGGATAACTTGGAGGGTGTATAAATCTTTAGTGGAGGGAAGCTGGGGTAGGGGTCATCCTAGGAAAAGATGGAAGGAGGAGGTAAAAGAGGTTTTGTGTGCAAAGGGCTTGGACATACAGCAGGCATGTGTGAGCACATTAGAGGAGTGAGTGGAGACGAGTGGTTTTTGGGACTTTACAGGCTGTTGGAGTGTAAGCAGGGTGATATTTTGTGAAGGGATTTCAGGGAAACTGATTAGCCAGACTTGAGTCCTGGAGGTGGAAAGTGCAATGCCTACACTTTAAAGGAGAGGTTTGAGATATTTACTGTTTGGAGTGATATCTGAACTGTCATATCTGAGTGCCTCTGCAAAAAGTATGATTATGTGTGAATGGAGGTGGTGTTGAATGATAGGGAAAGTGTTTCTTTTTTGGTTAGATGAGGAGCTGGAGGTATTGGAAAAAATAGGTGTGAATATTATGAGGAACTGTTAAATACTGATGAAGAGAGGGAGGCAGTGATTTTATGCATTGGCCAGAGAGATGTAACATCTTTCAGGAGTGAAGAAGAGCCGGATGTAAGTATGGGGGAAGTGCATGAGGCATTGGGTAGAATGAAAGTATAAAACAGCTGGAATTGTTGGGATCATGACAGAAATGTTAAAAGCAGGTGGGGATGCAGTTTTGGAATAGCTAGTACTTTTGTTCAATAAATGTATGAAAGAGGGGAAGGTAAACCATACCACGGGCAGGGATAGAACCCGCGATCGGAGAGTCTCAAAACTCCAGACCATCGCGTTAGCCACTGGACCAGCTAGCCACAATAAGATTCGTCTAACTATGCTAACCTTCCTATGGTGTAGAAATATACCTAGTTGGACGAATCTTATTGTGGCTAGCTGGTCCAGTGGCTAACAAACCATACCCGCCCGTGGCATGGTTTGTTTGCAATCGTGTCATTACGATTTCGTGAGTCATGTTGACGGCTTTGAGGGGACTTGAGCTAGAGTTCATCGTGGCCACGCTAGCTGGAGATTCGTCTGTAAAAACTTGCATTTGTGGTCACAGTGGTGCCTATGCTAACCTTCCTATGGTGTAGAAATATACCTAGTTGGACGAATCTTATTGTGGCTAGCTGGTCCAGTGGCTAACGTGACGGTCTGGAGTTTTGAGACTCTCTGATCGCGGGTTCTATCCCTGCCCGTGGTATGGTTTGTTTGCAATCGTGTCATTACGATTTCATGAGTCATGAGGGGAAGGTACCTAAGGACTGGCAGAGAGTGTGCATGGTTCCTTTATATAAAGGGTAAGGGACAAAAGAGAGTGTAAAAGTTATAGGGGAATAAGCCATTTGCTCCCTAGGCTTTCTCAGCCTATTTATCTCACTCCAAAACTTTTACTTCTCAGCAAAATCTGTAGACAGCACCTCACCCACTATCATTGGCTCTTCTTTAAGACTCCCTCACCACTCTCTTTTACTCTCCATATATCACTTTTGCTTTGTAAAAAATCTCTCATACACGAACTTTTTCTTCCTTATCATACCCTTTACCTCATTATTCCACCAATCACTCCTCTTCCCTCCTGCCCTATATCCAGAAACTTCTGCCGCACATTCTAACACTTCATATTTAAAACTATCCCACCCCTATACTCTAACTTTCCCACCTTTCTCCTAGTAGTTACATATATCTCACCCCAACCTCTTCCTCCCTTAGTTTATACACTTTCACCTCTCTCTTGTTCGCTAATGTCATTTTCCTTCTGTCCCCAACTACCTCTTCCTCTAAGTGTAGCTACAACTAAATAATGATCTGATATATCTGTTGCCCCTCTGTAAACATGTACATCCTGAAGCCTACTCATCAACCTTTTATCCACCAAACTATTTTCATTACGTCCTATATCATATCTTGTATACGTATTTATCATCATTTTCTTAAAATATGTATTACTTATTACCATATTTATTTACATATATATTTATACACGTACACCACATAGGGAGTTACCACTTTTACACCTGACAGGGGACCCACAGCCTCAAAAATGAGAATAAGCGTATTTCAGAGAAAACTCTAGAGGAGGTCTTCCCCCGTAGCTGTTTGAGTATTTTCTGACTGAACCCCTTATGTGCCATGTTTGTGTACCTTATCTGAAAACAATATGCTTACATTTCAAATACTTCGTCCTTTTCCCCTGCGATGGGTTGTGTGCCCAGAATGCTGCAGGCATTTTCTCTCTGGATCTCCTCACTTAACCTCTTAAAGAGAAAGCTGGCCGTTCTGGGGCTATTACTTTCTTTGATGAGTTTTTCCCTTAACTCTTTAAGGAATCTGAGAACACACACGCCCCATTCTCTGAGTCTGACCCTTCTGGGACAAAGTTATAGCATGGTGCCAATCCTCTGTACTTGTTAATCTTCTGGGTCTCCCTGAAACTGTTAGCTAAGTCTGTATACGTTGTACACATGTAGAAATAAAGAATTATTATTGTAGTATTGTAACTAGGTATCAACCAACATAGGCTTAGAGTACACGTGTAGTCCCATGCAATCTGCTTACCATACTTCCAGAATAGCATGGTGACTCAAAATAAGCACAACACACATTCAAAAAAACTAACTCATCCTGTGGACAATGTAAGATAGTGTCGATATCATCGTTCATTTAGTTAACTCTTTAAGGAAAGGAGTTCCTTGATGTTGGTGAAAAGCTCTTGATAGAAAGAATTGAGACTTTCTTCCTCTTCCTCAGATCAAACCTAATTGAATATTCTGCAAGACCTGCATGATTATAGATGTAGTGTATATAATATATATATATATATATATATATATATATATATATATATATATATATATATATATAAATATATATATATATATATATATATATATATATATATATATATATATATATATATATAATATATACTATATATATATACATATATATATATATATATATATATATATATAGTATATATAATATATATATATATACTATAATATATATATATTATATATATATATGTATGTATATATATATAGTATATATATATATATATATATATATATATATATATATATATATATATATATATATATATATATATATATATATATATATATATATATATATATATATATAACTGACACTACAATATTACGGTGGCTACATCAACTTCACCTAGCAGATTCACATCAGTGTGTTGGCAACCATCAAAGTGAGAGGACGTCGCTCTGTTGCTCATTCTCATCAATGGCGGGTCCTTTCAAGCTATTTTAATTAATATTTCTGTATGTACTTAGGATATACGTTAAAGGTCTGATTATATACATTAGAACTGGTGTTTCTGATTTCCAACTCTGCAGGCTGAGTGCGAAACCTCATCGTCACTTGGTTTAAATGGTAAGTACTTATGTCTTGATGTCACGTGATTCTTGTTAAAATAGCCCATTCAGGGGTGCTGGTGAAGGGCTCTTGATCCAAGAAACTGGAGCTACCCCTCTCCATCGAATCAAACCTGATTACTCCATCCCTTCCATCCCCCCACGTTCTGTTGACTTTATGGAGTACCACAATAATAATACTAATAATTATTATTATTATTATTATTTATTCAGAATGTAAAACCTGACTAACCGGGCTGTGGTTCGTACGTCAGCTTGCGTGCTGCCAGCAGTAACAGCCTGGTTGATCAGACCCTGATCGACCATGAGGCCTGGTCTCAGACCGGGCCGCGGGGGCGTTGACCCCTGAAACCCTCTCCAGGTAAACTAGGTAGAAAGATTTTTCTAATGATATTAGGATGGAAACATTAATTAAGCAGCGCCGGTGTGAATTTTATAATACAAAAAATAATACTGCCCTCCCCCCCTAAAAAAAAAAAAACACAAGTATTTAAGTTTTTGAAAATGTCGAAGGACGTAACATTTCTGGGGAAGGTTTCACTTGTAGTTCTTATGCTGGTTTATTGTGCTGCTCATTATCTTTATCTTCATCTTATGCTGGTTTATTGTGCTGCTCATTATCTTTATCTTCATCTTATGCTGGTTTATTGTGCTGCTCATTATCTTCATCTTCTAACTCATCTTCATTTTTTAATTCTTCATCTTCTAATTCATCTTCAGCTTTTTCTAATTCACCTTCATCTTCATCTTCTAATTCATCTTTGTCTTCTTTTGTTATAAAATCAAATTCATTGATGTACCAAGAGGTACGTCAACTAGAGTTGATACTGGTGAAGTGCTTTTGATCCAAGGAACTGCAGCTGCCTTCCCTTACCTCAGATCAAACTTGATTACCTCCCATTTCCCTAGTCTTAAACCTTTGCTCTTCTTCCCTGGACCAAACCTGAATGCCTCCTATCATCCCCCTAGGCGCTATATGACCTACGGTTTTAGCGCTCCCCATGAATGTAATAATAATAATCATAATCAGTCGTATGGCCACTGTATACATGTGGTTAAGTTCTTGCCTGTCAAGATTTTTTTTTCTGTATTCATTGGTATGCATTGTCTCAGTAATATATAATCTCAGGTCAAGAGTGGAATCTGCAGCAGGTAGAAAGTTGTGTCTGCTTCTACTGTGTCAGTGAACCTCAAGTTTTAACCACCGGAGCAAAACTATGTTTGTGTCACTAGTAGACATGTTAGTTTTAGTTAGTTTAATGTTTATTATGCACCCCATACCTATCCTGTGGGCGGTAGTCAAAAGATTACAGAGGTACATAATTGGTCCAGGGACTGGACTCCAAAGTTTTGATAGCTGAGCAAGTTACAAAGGTAATGAACTAGATCTGGTCATAATCATGACCAAGTTACAAAGGTAATGAGCTCCAGGTAGAGCTGGTCACGGACTGGATTTATATCATTTATTGGCGGGGATTTTAAACGCTGGGGTAGTTTGCTGCCTGAGTGCCGCCATGTTCATCTCTGGATCTACTGAGCGAACGAGGACAACGAACAATTAGTTACGCTGCCAGCGTCCTTGGAGGGGAAAATACAAGGAAGGCATTTTCACTTTTTATTTTTTTTAGAGTGTATATACTCGTGCTCTAGTCATGTTATTGTGGCTTATGATTTTCTTTATGCGCTCAGTTCAGTTTGCACGGTTTTGATTCTTGGCAGCCAGTACATAATCGTAAGCTAATCAGTAATATTTATTACATCCATAAAAAATTATTTGAATCTATGTATATTTTTAATGTTTTTGTATACATATATGTACCACATGCATAATGCTTTATCATAATTGTTAATCTTAGGTTCTAGCCTGCCCGAAATACTCTGCATAACCTGGGGCTTTCCGCTTACGTTATTAAATGCCATGTAATTTTGTAAAAACTATGTACTGCATCATTTGGAAATAAAGTATTTATTTATTATTTACTATAAAATTATATATAGTGTTTGCCTCCACATCATGTAACTCGTTCCATGTGCTCACATTTAAGACTGAAAAGGTGTTTATTAACGTCCTGGTGGCTCATTTGCTTATTTAGTTGCCGATTACATGTCTAAACGTATATCTTTCTGTCCCTAATAATAATCTTTATTTATACAAGTACTTGATACAACTGTATTATAGACCTAACTGACATCATTGGCATACTGTACTCGTATAGAAAGCCCCTTGTTATGCAGGGTATTTCAGGCAACTTGCGTTTATCTTGTTCTCCAGGAAGCGACCCACAACAGTCGACTGACGCCCAGGTACCTACGTGCCTGCTAGGTGAATAGGAACAGCAGCAGGTGTAAAGAAACATGCCTATTGTTTTACCCGTGCCGGGATCAATCCCCGGATCCTCAGTATGTAAACTGATGCTGTCAAAATCACGAGCGCCTCATTTGTCTTAAAGTTTCCAGTGGCTGTCATTTACTAATTCTTGCAACTTTTCATTATCCTGCCATTTTTTGTAAGAACTTTCTTATATCCTTTTGTCCCTTCTTTATTATATCTATTTCGGTGACATAATGGTGAAGGTGTTTACTAAGTAAGTTTATTCAGGTACAAGTACACATACAGTTACATAAAGTATCATACATATCATATGTGTAGATTACCCAGGATAACCCAAAAAAAAGTCAAAGCGACTTATTTCCAATGGGGTGGTTGTAGTGATGGACGTATAGTAAAGGTGGTTATGATAAACAGTAGTGGTGATAGTACTGATAGAGTTGGTTGTAGTGGAGTTGGAACTTGTAAGTGAAGTTAATAAAAGTGGTGAAGGTAATATTGGAGGCGGTCAGCAACACATGGTGTGGGTGTCCACACTTTCACATACCTCGGCCCCCCCCCCCCCCCCCCCGGGAGTCGGAAACACCTTTACCTCCTTATGCTATTCCTCCCTCCATACTTTGCCGCTTTTCCCTCCCTTCTTATATATATATATATATATATTATATATATATATATATAATATATATATATATATATATATATATATAAATATATAATATATATATATATATATATATATATATATATATAATATATATATATATATACACATATATACATACATACATAGAGTGAAAGACGCGTCTAAAATTTATATATTATAGAAGCACAATATACCTGGAGAGCGTTTCGGGGGTCAACGCCCCCGTGGCCCTATCTCTTGTTGGATTCAATCGTACAGCTACAACATAATAATAATAATAATAATAATAATAATAATAATTTATAAATGTTTAAAGGGGAATGTAGTATGTAGCAATGGCTGCTTCTTCCAATATTACGTCAGCATCTCATCTCGCACGTGCGTGCAAAAATAACTCCAGTTTGCATAGTGAAAGTATTGAGATTATTATAATGTGGGTGTAATGGCAGCCTTGTGTCTTCTGTATTCTGGGGAGGAAGGGAGGGTAGGCAGTTCGAGTTCCTTCATGCGTGGACTGAGTTTTAGACAAAATATTGCAAGGTCTGGGAGGTTCCGCATTCGCATCTGTAGTATCTCTAGACTCACTTCGATCATCCTCCTTTCGTCTTTCCCTGTTTCATTCGTCGTCTTTCCTTTTCATGCGTCCTACACAACACCTTTCGTGATTCTGCTCTCTTCTTATTTTCCTTATTTATATCATCATTATAATACTGAGAAAGTCTATCCCTGTCTTGTTTTCCCTTTCCACCCACCACTGGGTTAACTTGACGCAGTGGTGTTTGAGAGTTATGCATCCATGGAGGAACGACCTCACTGGGTCCTTTGTCCAAATAAAAACTTAAAGAGGTAACAAGTGCAGTAGTTTTCTCGGGTCGGAACTCCGGGGCGTTGAAATATTTGGGCAAATTTCACTACAACCCTCCCCGCAGCTCCTGCCTATAGTACATACATGTGTGCTAGCCGACTTGTGGGTGCCAGACAGGATTCAATTCAATTCAAAGTTTATTCTCTATAAGGATTACAATGCTGAGTTTACAGAAATTTGGTTATTGTTTGGTTTACATGTAGTAAAATTGTGATTACAGAGTGTACCACTAGAACGCTTAGCATGGCTAGGCATTTCGGGCATACTTAGTTTTATTCTTAATTGTAAAATATTACAAATTATGAGGTAAGTTGGTCTTATGGCTAAGTGACTAAATACTAGTTTATGAGTTTAGCAATGTGAATGCTTTTGTTTTGGCACAGTATATAGTTTCAGTATTGGAGTATCACAGGATTCATTATTTTAAGACTGAGATTAATATTTCTGTTTATGGTCAAATGAGTGAGCGAGTGTAAGTGTGAACCACCAGGTGGTATTCGTGTAGTTAGTTGACGGGGTGTATCAGGGAGATAAGATGTTTTCTAATGGTAGTTTTGAAGGTGATGAATGTGTCTGCAGTTCTAGAGTTCTCAGGTAGGGTATTCCAGATTTTAGGGCCTTTGACATACATTGAATTTTTGTAAAGGTTTAGTCGGACACGGGGAATGTCGTAGAGATGTTTGTGTCTGGTGTTATGCCTGTGAGTTCTGTCACAACTATCAAGAAAGCGTTTTAGGTCAAGGTTGATATTAGAGTTTAAGGCCCTGTAGATATAGATTGCACAGTAGTAAGTGTGGATGTACTGAACTGGGAGTAAGTTTAGATCTTTGAAGAGTGGGGGGGGTGTGCTGCCAGGGATGGGATTTAGTGATTATTCTTACTGCAGCTTTTTGTTGGGTTATTATTGGCTTTAGGTGTGTTGCTGCAGTTGATCCCCAAGCACAAATAGCATAGGTGAGGTATGGATAAATAAGTGAGTGGTATAGTGTGAGAAGGGCATTTTGCGGCACGTAGTATCGTATCTTGGAGAGGATCCCAACCGTTTTGGATACTTTTTTGGCTATATGCTGGATATGGGTGCTGAAATTCAGGTTGTTGTCAAGGTATAAGCCTAGGAATTTTCCCCCATTATTTCTGGTAATTAGAGTGTTGTCAATC